AGACTCGAATCACATTTAGTGGAGATTCAAACTCCACTTGGCGGAGATTTATATTTTATTTTATTGATTATTATTCTACTGCACTTGTAACGTGCGGAGATTCGACCCCCACTTAGCGAAGACTCGAACTTTAATCTGTGGCCGGTCCCTGTCCCAGCCAAAAAGGCCAAAAAGCCGGCGTGGCGACGGCCCGCTCAGTTCAGTGAGCAATTGCCTCGCTCGCGGACGGATTATATTGCTTCGCGCGGCAACTTTTATCATTTCACCGGTGTGATTTCGCGAATCTAGTGCTATCCAGGACCACACTCGGTTACCACAATGAACGCGAGTGACTGCGCGAACGAGGAATTTCCGGAGTCGAACGCGCGGCTAAGTATGTACATACATTCGAATTCTCGCCGGCGCCGGCAGCGCGATCGTGTCGCTGCGCCATCACCTTTTTTGAACGCGTTCATTCTCATGATAATCTCGCGGTGTGAGTCTCTTCCTGTAGTAATTATTGTCGAATCGAGTGCCAGACGTCAATCGGATGTGGCGACGCGCGAATGTATAGATTTCATGATCGAGAGTCGTGAAATGTACGCACGCGAATGCACGAACTTTTCCGATCGTCGCGTCGTCGACGCAGTTGCCTTTTTGAATTTCGATGCTGAATCTATTAACGTGCGCGTCGAAATTTTCATAAGAATCTCAACACTGTTGGTAGTGGTAAAAAAATATTTCAATCGTATGTATCGCAAAATGAATTGAAGAGAATTTTTCGGCGGCAGCCAAAGACCTGTGTATATTCTAGTTATATTATTTATTTTATTGTAACTACTATTTTAAATTGAAAAACTTGTAATTATAGAACAATTAAAATTACGGAAAACTTACATAAAAATATTTTATATAGAATTGCACATTTTCGAATTGTGACTATCAAGACACTTTGGCCCAGGGGTAATTGCAAAGAACGATGACATTACTAATCATTTTATATTACAGTTGTAAACACGATCGTTTTACGTTTACGTGACCAAATCACTATACTGTATCTTATTATCGACAGTGAAAAGAGTTTACAATTTACATGCCGCATATGTTTATATGATTATTTTTCAATTTTTGCAACGTTTAGCTGTACATACATATGTATATACACGTATATATATATATATACGTACAGCAAACGTTGTGAAAATTAAAAAAATACGTGTCGTTAAAACGATTTCGTGTGTTTGTTGTCCTCGCGGTTATACAGTTAAAATGATTGGTAATGTCATCATTCTTTATAATTACCCCCGGGCTCACTTGACAGTCACGAAAATTTGCCTTTGGCCCCGGCCGTCTTTTTTTATTTATAAATATATATATCTTATATATATATATATATTATCAATCGCTTTATAACCAGATAAAAACGTAACGTAATTTTTCTCTTTTTGATTTTATTTATGAAAATCAAATTTTTTAACAGGAGAATGTGTTTAAGAAACATATTACTCTTGTTAAAGCGACTTAATTCTTTATTCATTAGCGAAAATTTATAGCTCCGCGGCTCTGATCGATATATACATCAATCGTCATTATCGTTGCTCCGTCAAAGTAATCGAACGTCGATATAATACTGACACTTTGTTGGTGTATAATTATACCTATAAGCTGTATAGAATATATACATATATAATATATATTTTCTATTACTCTCGCAAACAATATGACAAAATCTGCAGCACAGAACATGTGTCGATGTTACATTAGCTATAATATATGCTATTTATTTAATAAATGCAAATCACGAGCTGCTTAATTAATTTGTAGAACGGCTTTAGAATATAAAAATATGTGTTAATAACCGTTCGATTTTATTTTAAATTTACTTGATTTGGAATTTTATTAATTTGCTGCAATAGAAAAATATGGCAAACTAGATGAAAAAGCGATGAGCCGTGCAAAATTATTCTCAAGGAAAATGATTTTTTCGTCAAATATACAGTCACCAACCCAACGGTCCGGACAATGCATTAATATATCGATAATTTATAAAAATTGAAGATAGAGCAACTTTGTTAAAAATTATCGTATCTAATGATCAAAAAAGCATTTTACAGCTTAAAGTCTGTACTTTCGAAATTCATAATTTAAATGACTTATTGATTCTTTACAAAGCTGCACGGATGCAAATGGAGATGCATCAAATCTAAAATTTTTTTACTAAATTTGCAAAGTTCCATGGAGTGAAGTAAAAATCGCATATAAATGCGACTTGCAGCGTTTAAAAGCGTGAATCTTTACCTTTAATTTGCGCACTTGATCAGCATTGTGCGATTTTCTTTTAGCGAGTTATTCGATACGAAAGCAAAAATGGTTATTTTTACTTCAATGTTGAGTAACTCGGTGAAAAAAAAATCGCACAATGCTGATCGAGTGCGCAAATTAAAGGTAAAGATTCACGCTTTCAAACGCTGTAAGTCGCATTTGTATGCAATTTTTATTTCACTCTATGGAACTTCGCAAATTTAGTAAAAAAATTTTAAATTTGATGCATCTCCATTTGCATCCGTGCAACTTTGTAAAGAATCAGTAAGTCATTTAATGAATTATAGATTTCGAAAGTAGAAACTCTAAGCTGTGAAATGCTTTTTTGACCATTATGTTACGACAATTATTGACAAAGTTGCTTTAACTTGAATTTTTAGAAATTATCGATATATTAACGCATTGTCCGGACAATTAGTTTGGTGACTGTATATTTGTCTTCTTATATTAATTCACGAGTAGATACGTTGATAACAAATAAAAGCATAAAAAAAATTATTTTATAAAAGCTCTTACCAGATGCAACAAAAAGTCCTGACGCGGAAAATGCGATACAAGTGACGCTGGCGATATGCCCCTCCATGGTGGATAACAATTCGTGAGTGTTGAGCTGCCATAAATTGACTAATGAATCGACACCACCGGTAACCGCCATGGCGCCATCCCTGGAGATGTCCAAGCAGGATATCGGTGCGGTATGGGGTTGCAGAGAATCCTGCTTCCCGGGTTTCTGTGGTTTTGGCGGTGGTTCCTCACCGCGGAAACTCCAGTAAGTCACGCGACCTCCCCCACCAGTTATCAGAAAATCATCTTTCTCAGTTACCTGCAAGAAATAAAAATAGAAACATGTATATATAATAGTATAACTTAAATAGAGAGAAATACGAAAAGAAAACGTGATAAATTAAAACTGTGATAAATGAGAGAAAAATAATGTAACACGAATTTGCGTTTAATCACCTTGACCGAAGTAACGGTTGCCGATGGATTAGCAGGCAAAGTCCTGATCAACTTTCCACTATGCATATCAAATACGGATACTCTGCCTTCGACACCGCCGGCGATAGCTCTTCTACAATCTTTCGCGAGGCAGAGACTCTTAACTGGTCCTTGATGTCCCCTAAGCGTGTGGATTTCCGTGCCCGTTGCCAAGGATCTTAGATAGAGCTTCTGATCTGCGCAAGCGGCTAGAAGGAAAACTGAATCCGCGGACACGTCTAGCATGACCACCGGGGAAGGAAGAGCGATACTGTTGAGAAGACTAAAGCTCTCCAAAGACCAAAGACACACAGTTCCGTCGACCGAACCGGAAACCAAGACTTCGCCAGCGGAATCGACTCGAATAGTGGTGACGGGGCCACGGTGATGGTCAACCTTCATCAGGACTTCGCCAGTGAGCAAACTCGTGGCGATAATTCTGGAATCCTCACCGCCGCTCACGATAACGGAGTTGTTGAGTGCCGTAGTTAAAGTGAGGATCGGCGCGATGTGTTCGCAAATCCGGCGCTTCATAACGAGTTCCTTCATGTCCCAAACGATAATGGAAGTGTCCTCGGAACCGGTCAGCAGATACTGCGATTGATGAGTGACGGCTAAACACGAGATTGGGCTGGAGTGTCCTGGTATGAAAAAAAACTTAATTTATTAATGATCATTAATATATACGAACGTATAAAACTTGGAAAACTCGGGAAAGAGGAGGAAATGACATTGCCAATAATCTGTTCGACTTAAATTATAATTTTTCTCATTACCTTTGAATGTATGAACGAGTTGACCGGACATCACGTGCCATAACTGAGCGTCTCCCTGCGGTGGCACAACGACTACATGCTGGCCAGATGGTGCCGCTTCGATCAATTTAACTCCCTGAGGACATGTAATCGCCCGGATCTGCAGTGGCAAAGGTGGTTGCAGCCATCCGTTCAAGGGCACGAGCAAAGGCGCGGTGTAACCGTCGCACCAGGCCATCGCCGACATGACCATTCTGCTGACCTTGATGAAAAGATTGCTTCTCTTATTTACGAATTAATAGCTCTTTTTATTAGGATAAAAAATAAAAAGAACTCACGAGGTCACCTCCGTCCTCGGCGACCGGCCTTAACCAGCAGATGAGCTGCGCAGCGAGCTGAAGTGGATCTCTGGTGAGGACATCGCTGGATTTTCTCACCGCGTAATACACGAGTTCCAAGTCGCGCTCAAGAAGGTATCGTCTGGCGTGTTCGAGAACGCACCGTAGGTAGCTGACGGAGATCATCTGAGCACCCGCGAGAAGGAAGTCGAACGCACAGACGGCGAGTTTCTTCAGCTTGTCGACGTCGGAAGCGCGCAGAAGATGTAGCCACGCTTCTTCAACGTGTCGAAGTGTGTACGTGACATCCTGCGTTTGCGGCGCACTTTGAAACGGCGTTTCCTTAACGGGAGGCGTAGAGGATGGATTCTCCGGCGATTTGTCGGAACGATCTTCAGCGTCCTCGGAGAAGAAGAGGCCGGCCAACTCCGCGTGATAGCCGCGAGAAACGTCTTGATTGGAGAGATATTTTCTGAGAGCGACTTCGCGACATTGACCGCGCCAGGAAAACATTAATCGGCCGCTCATCACTCGTACCTGAAAAAAAAAAAAAGATATTTCGTAAAATAAAAATTTAATAATAGGAAAATGTAGTATAAACGTAATGTTAAATTAAAGTATTCACATCGATTCTAATCTACTTACTTTGAGCCACGGTGCGAACGACCTCCTGACCAAGCACCAGGTCGCAAAGTTAAATTGGCTTTCCTCCAGGAGCAAAGGTCCTTCTCCGCCGGTAGGCATAATTAATTCGAGTATTTCTGTCTCTGACAAGCCGTACTCGGTGCAAGCGAGAATCGAGGCGATCCGAGTAGCTGCGTCAAGTCCGATGAGGTTCTCCAAGCGCTCCAGAACCGCGTCGACGCCTGGCGTCGCGCACACGTGCCCGGAGAGATCGACGAGAATGTCGGGGCTACGTAGACGATCCTTCTGCAGCGGCGTGAGGCGCATTCCCTCGGGCGGAAGCGCGGAAGTGACGACAAAGTGAACGCCCGGAGGAAGGGTGAGCGGTAGCCAGGACAAGGCGGCGACGATATCGCACTCGAGGGGATGAAAGCGATGAAGATCGTCGAGGAGAATAATTAATTGGTCCGGAAGGGGATGCTCCTCTAAGCGGCGTATGATGAGGCTGAACCAATTGTTGAGGTAGAGTGGGTCGAAGGAGGCGTCGCGCGGTAAATTGCCGTCGTTATCCCCGCAAAGAAAGCCGACGTGCTGGCAGAGGATGCGGAGCAGCTCCAGGCTGTAGGCGGATCGGGGTGTCGAGGTGCACAGTCGGACGACGCGAAGCGTCGGCGCCGAAAGCCAGTCGGGCGAGTCCCGGTAGACGCGCGCAAGGATGGAGGATTTCCCGGAGGATTTGGGCCCGTAGATTAGAATCGGTCCGTGCTTCTGCTCCTTGCCTAGAGAATTTATATACGATCCAATTGTATATAAATATTGTTACGCCGTTACGGTATCCTATATATCCTGCGAATGTGAAATGTACCTGCAAGGATAAGTTGTTTAACTCGCTCCACGGCCTCGTCGCCCTCGTCGGCCAACGGTAACTCCCGAAGAAGAGCGAAATGCGCCATACTCTCGGCGTAGACCTCCTGCACCATCTTCTTGCGACTTTTGATCTCCGGGTCGGCTTCGACGGACGCGTTCACCAGCTGCTGCAGCCGGTCCAGTATCAGTTCCCGAAGTTTTCCAAGGTACTCGTCGTGTGCCTCGCAGTCGGCGTCGATACCGCCGTTACGGTGCTCCACGTGAAAACGCAGAACATTCTCGTGGGGCAGAACGGTCTGGATGCGGGTCTTGAGCCTCTCGGTGCCGGCGGTGCACCTCGGCGCATCGTCGCTCGTCCACTCGCGTATCACGGCCATTATTCCCAAGCCCTGCTGGTCTAGATCTGATAAGAACGTCCCAACGATTATATACCGTCGATGAATTATTACTGCGCTCCTTACACGTGCCCCGCCGCACTTATGTCTGCATAGTAATGAAAAAGGTCTATAAAGCCCCGCCGTTATATAGTCCTTTTATTATTATCCAAGAAAATTCAGAGACAAATAATTTCTCGTAACGAGATTTTAATCTCTTTACATGGTGCACGCGCGCGCCCGCGCACGTTAAAAGATTTATAATAAATTCTCGCCAGCGGGGCGAGAACTAAAAATAGCTCGAGCACCAATTAAATTTTCTGGCTGGAAAACGAATTAGCGCGCGGCACTAGACGTGGCACAAAGCGGCTCAATTTTCAGCTTCTAGGTAAAAGCCTCTTATAACGTGAAACGCAGTGGGTGGTGCGACAACTCTCCTTCGCCAACAGTTGTACGTTTGACAGGGGAATAATTTAAACGGCGCACGACGATACTTGACCTAGAAGGTCAGGATTTCTCTATTTTTGGAGAAGAAAGCTCGATAAGTCCACAATTTCAGTCGTGAAATGCGAATACATGCCACCGGCGTGCCATCGCACGAGAGCTGATCAAATATTGACAGCGGCGGAGTGACGGTATCCCGCGCGATCGGTGTGTTATTTTATTTACGATCTTGCAAAAATATGACGTGCCTAGCTACAGACAGGGAACGATATGCCAGAGTGTCAACGGGGAAATTCTAATGTCTCCATAATATGTATCGGCCAATACTTCGCTATACTCACTTAGGCCGTATTCCAGCTGCCGTTCCGCCGTACTCCTCAGGATGTATTTCAATTCCTCGTTCTCCGGTTGCTCCGCGATCGCGCGTTCCGCGGCGGTCCTCAGCGCCTCGCGCAGTTTCGGCTCTGGATCCCGTTGCCATTCTCGCTGAGCGGTCTGCACGCTGTTCACACGCAACTTACGATGATGACTCAGAAAAAAAACAACGAAGAAGACGGTGGGGAAAAAGGGGCAAAGTACAGGAGGAGAGATTCTAAACATCAGAGCGTTTACCTATTTGCATTCAAAACATAAGAGTGCCCATTGTGCTCGTAATGATCTTTAAGAAGGGCGCAGTGCGCGAGAAGCGTTCGGTAGGTAGCCTCTTTCAATTCCGTTGGTACCCACCCTACCGTATAATTTGTTCCCGTCAACAGCTGAAAAGGATAACAAATGGAGAAACGAGTCACTCCTCTGCATCTCGAGCGTACTCGAAGTGTCGTGTGTAAGAAGAGGGTGGTAGAAGGAAAGAGCGATGCGGCGTGACGCGACGAGAGTGGCGAGGGTAAAAATGAGGCGTAAAAACACGCGTAAAATGAAGCGCGCGAGGGCGAGTGTAATCGTGGCGATCGTGGCCGGAGTACCCTCGTTAAAATAAACTCTTTTACGGGTGAGATATATACGCGTATGCCTCGTATAACATATATAACTTTTATTCTTAATTCTACGCGGTAATGAAAGGTAAACGGTGCAGGCCGCCGCGATCGATATGCCGAGACGACGCCGCGTATACGTGCAATGTTTTCCTTACCAGGAGGAAGCAGCCCCTGGAATGACGGTGGGACGCGCTTATCTCCTCCAGGAAGTACTCCGCCAGATGCGGATCGGCGTCCGGATCGTCGCCGGCCCCGTATTGCATGTCCACCAGGAGCACCTACGCGGGGCAAAAGCAGGGCGATATCACTCGAGTGCGAGTGCGACTTTGGAGCGTTATAGCGCGGTTTCTCGAGCGTCAAACGTAATTTGAAATCGCTTTGCACTGACCTCGATTCCCATGTCATCGTAAATTGATTGCAGCTCCGGACCGACCACCTCCAGCAGCTGTTTGCGCTCCTCCGGGAAGTCTAGCCGACGAAATTGCCGAATGTGAATTCGATTTCACGTTAATAGAAGCCTCTACTTCTCTCTCTATCTCTCTACCTCTTCGCGATCTCTCTACACCTACGTGTTGCCTCACGTGCGCGTGACATTGCTGAGATTGAATTTTGCTTAATACGAGGAATATAACGAGAATATATACGGCATCCGTTAGAGATTCTATCAAGCCCGAGTCGCGAATGAATTTGACAAAACGTTCATTGAAGCTAAAACGCCGCTCCGTCTCTCGAGATTAATTCACTCGTCTTAACTTACCATCCCTCTCGCCGGCGATGAATATCTTGATCAGCCTCGGCGCTGGCAGATGAGCGGGGGGCGGGCCACCTTTGACGACCCCCGCGATCAGTTCCACCTCGAGATTCATGCTTGCGGGGGGAAAGTGTTTTGCTAGTTCGAAAATGGCATTAGGCAATTCTTATGCGTTCAACGTGAAACGTCATTTCGTCTTCGAAATATATTTCTCTCGCTATGTTTTATATCGCTCGATATCGCTGTCTCCTTAAGGACTCGGACTCTTCTCGAGGTATCTCCTACTACATTTATATATATGTATAATATATATATTTCTCTTTCAAATTAAATTCTCTCTATATTCTTAAAATCATAAAATCTTTCTTCTCTCGGACGAATTATTTGGATTACAGGCTCACCCGATTTCCCTCTCGTCGTACGTGGGATCTCGTGCAACGCGTTCTTTCGAGCGCTTAGACTCGCGTGTGGACCCTCTGATAATTTATATTGAAATCTTAAATCTCTCGTGATCGGATCTCCGGGTCCGTCCGCTCTCTGGAGTTGTATGTATCTCGGAGTACTCTCGGCACTCGCTCGGATCTCCGCTTGCGTTCTCTGCTCGGTTATTGCCCGCTCAAGGTACTCGTGTTACTCGTGATATACTTGATCGATCCGGCGATCAGTAGTCAATATATTTATAATATATAACATGTGATCGGGAGACTCTCAACAAATAATATATGTATATATAATAGAGATTGTGATTTCTGTTTTTGATCTATACTTCTTTTGTGGGTGTGTGTATATATATATCTGTGTATATATATCTGCTCTTATACATATATATATATATCTATATACCTATTTACGTCTTAATTCTGAGTCAACTACCTAAACAATTACGATTGTCTTCGCCTGCGGAACGCAGCGCGCGGAGCGTTACATTGATCCGTCAGTCGCGATTAGGCGGCGGCGCCCACGCGCGCCCGCGACTCCGTCATTCTTCATCGATCGCAAAGCGACATAGATCAATTGATCTATCGCGAATCGATCATCCCCCAGCGCTTTAGTCAGTTTGTACTTGCTCCGAGCGTACTCATTGGTCGTTGCCCGCTAAGCCGCGGTGGGCGGATATGGCGTTAGCGGGAGGAAAGAGGGTGAATTATATGTTGGAGTCGGCGGGCTTGAAGGTGAGGTATTCAAGGCCCTGCTGCGTCGCGTTCTTACGTTCCCATTTTACGTCGCGGGGCGAGGACCCTCTGTAAGCAAAAACATACGGAAGCGCAAATTTCATCGGCTGTCGTCTCTCCGCGCGCGTTTAGATCCTCCGCACGGAAAGGTGAGAGGGAGAGCGAAGGAGCGCGAAAGGGGTGAGCGACGATTCGGGAGACGCGGACCCGCGTCGTGCCACCCTCCCTCGGAAATAGGAGGACGGGGTGAGTGGGAGACTAAAAGCCCCAGCGAGTGGCGGCGAGCTTCTGCGCGAGCGCGCGAGCGAGCGCGCGAGGAAGTCGTCGGAATCGATCGGGCGACTTCCACGACTCGCGAATTCGGGCCGTGCGCCGCGCGCGGTTTCACGTGCGCGCGCGTTTTTTACGCACGAGCGTTTTTGAGAGGTCATCTCGACGATACGTGCGTATCGATCTCTCTTTTTTCTTTCGTCTCGATCGACTATATATATATATATATATACATATATATATATACACTCGGCGCGCGCCGCACGCGTTTACACGAGATGACACGCTCGTTGACGTAGTCCGAAATTTACATAACATACATGCAATGTATACGCGTCTCGAGACGCGAAATGCGAGACGCAGAATATCGTGTGTCGCTACGCGAGGGCTCGCGGAGCTCGGGGCGTGAACTTTTGACCCACCCCAGCACGTGGCTGAACTCGCCGCCCGCTGCACGTCGCTATTGTTTTCCAGGGCCGGGCTCGTTTTGCGGTATCTCTCAGATCGCTGTCGGAACCCGAGATGCTCCGGAATCAACGCGGGTATAGAATTCAGTTGCGAGATAAGATTCGAGGCAACAGTGCCACAATGGGAGAATATACGCGAGATAGCGCGGAACGCTGTTTGGAATCGCGACGTGATAGGAGCCGGCGCGGCGGCGGGTCGAGTCGCGACGGAATTAATTGAACCCGGAATTATTTATCAAGATTCGGAGTTACGGTCGGTCGAGATTAATAACGATCGTTAATAATTGCAACGATTCGACGCGGCCGAGATGACCACCGCAGGCAGAGCAGCGAGAGGGGGAGAGATCGCAGCTTGCGGTCATGGATTCCCACTCCAATGCCCGCCGGAAACTCTTGCCGCACGATGTATGTATCTACGTCGTAAAGAGGCTGAATGCCAATCTCTCTTAAGATCGCGACGTGTATAATTCGGGCGTGTATTATTTTTTGCAGATACAATTTTTCCGCGCGGATCTCCCAGGGTACGGGGAGAAAGTGGGGAACGCGAGCGTAACGTTCGCAAATGTTTGCCGTCCCGGGCACTCGACGGACACGGCAAACAAACCTCCAAGCCGCCCGAGTGTACGTCGAGTACAATTATCGCGTCGTCATTAGGTCAACCGTGCGAAACGGCGTGTCGGGAGAGAGTGAGAAATCCATTTATTACACTGGGACACCAAATCACGCGAATGTCTACATCGGGACCGTTTGAAATGCCGAGGGTTTTCGGAAGAGATTTCTCGAACGCATACCGCGGTGGTGATAACGAGCCGAGGGATGATTGTGCACAGGGGTGTTAATTGAACCGAAAACGACCGATAGGGATTGATATCATTCTTATATTACGAAAATAGAGAGGAGAGTATAAATCGGCGAGAGAGGGCAAGCCAATAAAAATAGAAGAGTACCAACTTCTAGAGGATTGTTGTTAATTATAGTCCTATACCCGGAGTTGACCAATTAACCTTCCGCCAACGTTCGAGCTATCGCGTATTTGTTTATAAAGTTTTACACTGCGGATACTTGAACCGTGCTATAGAATTTTCTCGACAAATGCCACCGATTTGCAGTATTTTTATTTTTAACGAGGCATCTAATTTTAACTTAATTATTGTCTCGACTCTGACAAATCATTTAATGCAAAACGAATTCGAAAAGCGAAAGAAGGGGTAGAACGAATGGATATTTGAGGATATTTAAGAGCCTTTCGATAATTCGCAAACATTTTCGCGTCTCTTATCGTTTGGACCACTTCGCGCGGAGGCACGGTAATTGCCACCATCTTTCGTCGAATTAATTTGCGTCTGCAAAATCGGGATCGTAAAACGATCGGAAAAATTCGTTCGGATGTAATTCCGGGCCGATAAGTCGAGAGCCGTCTCTCGCGATTATCAGCAAGACGCACGTTAGATCGGGAAACACAATCGCATTCCCGAAATACGAATTTATTAAACATAAGACGTCACGCTTCTTCCCTCCCCTATTCTTCGTCCCCTTTCCTCGCTTTCCCCACCCACTGGCGTTCTATTTGAATCTCGGTGAAAATTCCATTCTACGTTTTATCAGCCAAACGATCGACCGTCGTCAAAACGGGAGAGAGAGGCTGCCGCCACCCGTGGAAGATGCCTCCTTCGCGGAGAAGGGATGGAAAAATCGCGGTGCGGATCTCGCGCCGTCGTCCCGGTCGATGCGGGACTCGAAAAAAAAAGGGGAGGGGATCCAGTCAAAACAAGGCGCTTACCAGGTCGTCGAGCAGCTATCGTGACACGAAGGCCTTCACCTGCTCACGCGGACGACGGCACCACTACTGATAACGCAGTCAAGCGGCCGACGCCTCCGGAGCGCCGAACGCCCAGCGCCGACGCCGTCGCCCGTCAGCGTCATCGCCGACGACAACGACGCCGACGCTGACGCCGACGCCGATATCGCTGAGCCTCGGGGGGTAGGGGGTAGTCGCGATACGTCGATGTTATCTACATAACAATACAGATTTGCATCTATTATAATATCTAATACTTTTGTGTACATATATATATATATATATATATATATATATATATATACACGCGACATTCTGTTATATATACTAAAACGACATATACTTACTTGTATATGACCAAAAGTAAAACAACACTTTGTCTTGTAGGATAGATCAGGGAAACTTGGAACAGTTAATCCGAAGTGGATGGCAAACTAAAGATCGAGGCATTCTTATGTAATATACAGTTGATAGTTTATAAAAAATCGAAGTATACACGGGTAGAGGGGATCGTTAAAAGATGTAACAACGAATGTACAATTACTTCCCGTATAATCATATATATGCATATATATAATTATTAAATAATAATCTAATTCGTCATACGCTCTGTTCGTTTCTGTCTTCGGCGAACCGTAAAATGTGTGGTGAGAAAAGAGCAACGTACGCCGGAGAATCCCGTTTGGCAGCATGACAAAGTATGAGTAGTACGATTATTTTACAATATTTCATTTGTTTATTTCTCATAACACTTGCTAGTGCTATTGTTCACCATTATTTATTATTTTGTTAGAGTCTTTATAGGCGAGCTGATTACGCCTTGACGATCGATTCGTATTTTACATTGGCGCGAAATCGTTCTCTGTCGTTTCCCTATATACTTCCTTTTTACAATTATTTAATTCAATTGCAACAATATCTCAATTGCAATGCTCGTCGACTGTTCGAAATTGTCGGTTACGACTTCGCAAAGTTCCAATTTTACAACGCGAATTAACAATGTGTCACCGTTTAAGGAATGACATAGCGACTCATAATACAATTTTTCACGAGTTTTGTTACTACCCTCCTCTCTTGTTCGTTTTATTGCCTGCAGGTAGGTTTTTAAATTTACAGGAGCGCATTAGCTTTATCACCATGAAATATCTTCTCGTTTGGCGACACTCAGCCTGCAAGCATCTTCATTCGCTTATTACATTATTACTTTATACTGCAGATGCAAAATTGCACTTATTTAAATTCCCTTTCTATTGCATATAATTATTTGTAACTAATATTTTTCAGGATTTTTTTTCAAAGATGGTATTTTTTTTAAAGGTAAGAACACTTGCGTATTGCGACAATAGCGGTACTTCGGTACAGAGATTGAAAGAATTCAGAATATAGAAAACGTAGTTACAAAAAAAAATATTTTATACAAACATCATTAAAAATAGTCGACTTCCTCTATTTCAAGTAAACTGTTTTCTTTTAAATTAATATACTCTTTTTGCGTTCTCTCTTTCTAAAAACTTGCATTTACCATGTAATCGCGAGTAGATAAGAAAGTGAGTGAAAGACAGCAATGACATTTCCGTTGTTCCATTGGAACAAGGGCGGAGGCTGTGTGAGGGAAAGCTTAGAATAGAAAAAAAAAGTTCGATTCCAACGATTTTAAGACAGAGGAAACCGACTGTACTCGTCATGCTGATACCATTTCAATGAATTATTGCTATTGTGAAAAAGATATTTTCTTACTGAACAAATAAATCTTACAGATTAAAATTGTTGTAGGTATAACACAATATCGTAAAAAATTAGATATTATTTACTGAACGAGTTCAAGAAAGATTGTTCAAGTAGATACGCGCAACGAGAACGCAAGTCCATGTATGTTGAAGCTACCGAGGGTAAATAATATAATAATATAATTATAATAATAATAACAATGATTATACAATCTATCATGCTTAAATGCGTCAGTGTCTTTCAATAAGGCTGTCACTGCTGCATAAGTAGATGGCATAAGTAGATCTTGAATCACGTGACATATCCCAAAATATCCCGAATGACCCACGATCGGTTAATGAATTATAAACGGATTGCGCCATTTTCTAACCGTGCGACTGATTTTGTGATGATGTTCCATAATCCAATGATTTTAACGCCTCCGGCAGGAATTAGTCTCACGCACGAATTCCTTAACTTGGTCACTCTTTCACCTGCGTCTTCAGATGTTGCAAAAACTCGTAGTAACTAAGAGCAGATTCGAATCGGTCCTCTATCAATCGTTCGACGAATAACGTCCTGAAGTGGCTGTCGTCCCTGAAAAATAATTTGTCCGCGTTAAAAAAAATGTATCGCGTTGAAAAACATCAGTTACGCGCGCTACAAGATGCAAGCAATTTACAGGTATTCCGTAAACATTTGCGTAACATCTTACACATTTATTTTTATTTTATTAAGTGAAACAATTCAATTACCTGATAACTTGTACAGGTACGTAGTGCGGTTTCTCCTCTTGTAAACTAAACACAAAGTTTCGCAATCGTTCGCTTTCTACCGTATCCAATTCCGGTAATTCGTACTGCAAGACAGATTCAAAACAAAATGAAATTAGATTTTTATCAGATTAAAAATTATAATCCGATTTAAACTTTCCGATTTTCGAACGCGTAGTCGAGAAGGAAGTGGTGAAATATTTACCATTTCCTCTGGAATAGATGCGAATCCCGAAGTGCCGAATACATTGGAACATAAAATCGGGTTGATATTCTTGCCGACGTAAATAAATATTCTGTCGCCAGCATCCATAAGAAAGAGTCCCCGGCTGTCGAGTTTCTCAGCGGACAAATTAAGGCGGGGCGGCTGTGGACACACTTTGCCGTCAATGTCCTTCGCGTTGCGATCGTCGAGCATGTGAACGGGATACAGATCGGGGTAAATCACTTGTATCAGCTGTGCCAACGGTAACGTCTTCAGTTGAAACATCGCGAATATGCGATCATCCAAACGCGTGCTCGTGCCGGATCTGAACGCTATCTACAAATTTAAAATTAAAAAAAAGATATTAACGACATCTAACGATATATTCAAGTAATAATGTTTATAAATTTATTCACTGATAACTTACGCTCTTCAACAATGCGATAATGTATAATGGCAACAGCTTTAAACTTCCTGGAGCAACAAGTCCGCCGCCGCTGGAAGATTGTGCCAATTTGTACGCGGATAAAATGTCGATAGCGACGTTTATTAATGCTTCTCTAGCGTCCGACAAAGATGACTGAAGCGATCGATCGACAGCTGTGAAGATATTATTTAAAATAAATGTCTCTTAATTTCTCTTAATTACAGAGAAGTTGAGCAACACACACAAATAATTATTAAACTTTTGCATTGCATAAGAAGAATTCATAGCCGACAACGACAAGTTTAACTTACCCATTTTTGATAATAAGCCGATTATGCATTGTTGATCCGCAGAATGCATCACGTCCGATAGACTCGACACGACTGGCAGGCATAGAGTGTGTACTCTGATCCTTCGTTCACCTTTAGATAAAAATGTATGAAATACACGAAAAAAAAAAAAAAAAAACATTAAGGCTCCTGATTACTGAGCCAAAAACTCCGCGTTTACGGTGGCAACACCATAAAAGCGTGATTACGAAACGCAGCTATATTCTGAAACTTTTTAACGCACGCGTTAAAAAGATTCAAAATAGGTCTACAAGAGCTTTAAGAAGGGCAATAATCACCTTTGCTCGAGGTATAAAGAAGGGATGCTTGGAAGCATACGTTCTGCACATCGGAAAGATTTTCGTCAATAGAGATTTGCATGCCGAAACCGGCGTCCGGATTAATATTTGGCAAGCAGAGAAGATCAGTCGATCGAACGAAGAAGCTGCCGTGGAAGGCGTGGATGCTGAGACCGCGGGTACAGCGGAGCCGCATCACCGCTTCGAAGCCAATCTTTCTCGTCAAGTAACGACGAAGTAATCTCTCTAAGGTTTCGATATTTTGTAACTTCGATGCTCGGAACAGTGGCAGATGGTAAATACACCCGCCCGTAAACTTCGACACGCATGCTGCGAAATAGGAAAAATCAAATCATGTTACAGGAGAATGTTTACCAATATTTTTCAAGGAAGGCGGTAATTACATATTACGAGAAAAATTACAATTAAAAAATTAATTACTTGCAAATTTACAACACACAAAATTCTCGTTCTGTTATAAACGTTATTCAAAATGTTTAAACCAACATTTTTCAAGGAAGGTCGTAATTGTGAAAAAAACTACAATTAAAAAATTAATCACTTGCAAATTTACTGCACACAAAATTGTCGTTCTATTGTAATTCGTATTCCAATCGAGATAGGTTCACTTACATAAAGTTGCCAGATCGCTGTATTGGCTGTTCAATAAGAACAAATCAATCGCGATCTGTTGTCCACTGCAATCCAGAGCGAATCTTTTGTAGAAATCCGTCGCGGGATTGAGATGCGGCACGTCTTTGTTCACTCTAGTATTGGGATCCTCTCTCGGCTGCAGGGCCCCCGGGCCGATGTTAGGCAGACACGTTTGGAAAACGGTGACGCGTCCCCCGGTAGCGGAGAGAAGTTTAAGGGCGGCTTGAAGACCGGCACCGAGGGCGCTGTTAGTATCGTGGGTGCCGCAGAACTTGACGGGAAGCTGGGCGAGAAGGTCGCGGATAAGCTCCTCGCGCTCCTTCAGATTTACGATTAGGTTTTCCGGACACGGCAGAAACACATCGTCGATATCCAGCATGATCATTTCGTGCGGCTGCGAGACGTTGTCGGGCATGCTGAAGAAGTGCAGAGTAGAATCGACCGCGAGGAAACCGACTTGAGTGCGGCTGTCGCCGGGGAGACGCGACAGCTCGTCAGTGATAGTGTTGCAAACAATCTGCAGATAGCCGCTTTCCACCGCAAGACGAGAAACGTCCATGACGAAGAGATAGACAGCGGGCTGAGGTGGACGGACCTGTAATTCACGATATTCCTCAACACTATCTTTCGAAGCATCACAAACGAGTATTTCATTTTTTTTAATGCAAATAGATACTTTGAAATTACGAATGCGCGACTATTTTACCTGATTCTAAAGCTTACTATTTACTTGGCGCAATGTGTTAAATAGTAATTAAAAAAAAATTATTAACCATGTACTCGCTTGGCGCAATGAACTCTATCGTGCCCGTTCTGACTTCTGGCCGTCGCGAGGGATCGCCGTACGATTTTGTCACAGGATCGAATTGAAATTCCTCAGGAACTGCACAACAAACGTAAACGTATATCTAACTCTTGTCATGCAATAGATATTAAGAGTAAATAGATATGAAAAATTTCATTACGTTCATTCAATCTGAAACAGAGATTGCACTTCCACCTTCTCGAATCGACGAAATATACAAACGGGTTGATATACGTTCGGCAAGCTCGACAACGTACGATCGTATTGCATTGAATCACTGCTAAATGCTGCGACAAACAATAAAAATTAAATTTTAAAATAATATTCTTAAAAAGTGAAATAGCAGCAATATGTTCTCTCTTGTACCTATGTCTGTATGTTACATTACAACTTCTTTTTTACATACACTCACGTTTAGGTCCTTAAAAGGATGTATTAATACACCGAATGGCAATCTCGATTTTTGTAGAAGCGAATTTGATTCTGGGACCTTTGTCAATGTACACCTGAATACCCTGTAATTATTCCACATATTTAATAAGAATTATATTTTTATACCTGCTAAAATAATTTGACCTTAGTAGAAAAAATTGTTCAAATCTTTGATTCGAGTTTGTATTTTGGATGTAATTCTCGTTTAACAGAAATATAATCCTGGAATCCTAAATGAACAAAAAAAAACTTACTCAGGATTACAATTTACAGTGTCCAGGAATTCCTGATGCAACTTGATCTTTGGTGGTTCGATTTTCTCAGGCGGCAGTATATTTCGGCACTGTAAGAGGTCTATCGATTCCATCCCCTAAAAAATGTTATTAACATATTGAAGAACGTAACATATTCAGATTACATATATAATTTTACATACATAGTATTGAAATAAAATACCCATAATTTGTTGTAGCCAGCTTGTGTGACGTTCAAATTGCTCATCTGATTATTTAATTGATTTAATTGGTCTGGGTACATATTAGGATACCTTCTATTTGACGAGTCTAACGGGACGTTCGTCATTTGGCCGGGATATTGTGAACGAGAGTCGTACTGGAAGTAACAAATGAATATTAATGTTGTAAAATACCACACTACTTTTTGAAGAAAATATATAGAAGATTAATTAAATGAAATTTGATTCTTTTACGTAAAGTTATTATTACAGGCTTAAATTTTATTACCGTCTGCTGTCCTGGTAGAGGAGGTATCCCCGATGGAGGTAATCTCGCGCCATGTAACTGATTACCTCCTAAAGGCGGTAGCATCGCGGCATTGGCAGTGTCTTGTTGCGGATATTTCCTCTGGCCAGTTAAATTTTGATGTATATTCTGACCCTGCGGAATACTTCCCAATCCCGTGGGATCCATGTAACCAGTGAGTAAATTTTGATGCTTCAAAGGCTGAGTGCTATAATCTTGAGGGTTTCGTGGACCTAAATTATGGCCTTGTGCACTGTAAAGTAAAGGCTGCGTGCTTGAATTTGGCATTGGCGATGCACTGGATATAATCTGCTGACTTCCATATCTGAGTTGTGGACTAATTAAGCTTTCGGAAGGACTAATCGTCGATTGTGCTTGAACGTTCTGAGTCCTTGGCGGTTGTGCACCGGAACTCACTGGTTCTTGCTGTACATAATTGCTTTGATTTAAATGATGAGTGATGCTTGAAGGAGGTAGATTAACGTTGGATGCTGTTGGTGGCGGTGGAGGGATAGAGTGTCCTTGATTGTAGGTCAAAATCTTATTTACTCTAGCAAAGGACGTCTGACTTTCCGCAGTTTGATCCGTCGAGACCTGACTAGTCCTATCGATGCTACTGGATACTCCAGGAACGCCTATAGTACCTTGCGGAATGTTGGTAGGTGGGGGATTGGTCACCCATGGATAACTTTGGTTTACTTTAGCTGACTCTGGTTTAACAGCGTCTGCAAACGTCGATGACGCGGACACCGGAGTCGGATGTGCCGCCGTCGGAGGCATCTGATTCGAAGGAATCATAGGTCGATGCTGAATTTCTTGGCTAGGTTGAGACACAAGGGCTGCTGAGGATGTACCGACTGTGACGTTCTGACGAACGCCAGTGGCATACTGGTTGTGAGCACTATAGAGATTTGCAGGATTGCTATACGTCTGTGATGTTCTAGGTGGTGGAGGCAACACATTAGGGTTCTGAGGTCCATTTATTGGTGGCATTGGCGGCCGTGGCAACTGAGGCCGATATTGGTTGTGAAGATACTGAGTGGGTGATGGATCTCTGGAAGTCTCCCTGGATGGGTCACGCGACGACTGCGACGATGGTGTGCCTGTAAATACATTTCCAATTTTAACGGCTAACTTTTTAGACAAGACTCATTATCTTCTGATAATAACTTCGAAATTTTATTCGATGACACATTTAGACTTTAAAAAGTTAGTTAATGGAAATTTTAAAATGAAATTTGTAACATTGACCTACAGAATTCTCTTTTTATTTAAATCTATTATCCACTTTTCTATAGCATGAAATTTTGTGTACATATTTAAATAAACGTTAATATAAATTGCTTTATGTCAAAATATAAAATTTACACAATGCTTTTCTTATTGACTACATCTGCTTTATTCTTGAGAATGTAAGAAATTGCAAGGGTGAACGATAAGAGAGTGAATGAGAAGATATGTCAAGTCAATTCTTATCACACGTCGCCCCATTGGGTATGCAATGCTAGCAATGTTTAAGATTGCTCGAGCATCAAAAAAGCATTATGTAAAAAAAAAAAATAACATAAATAACATTATATCTCAGAAATAAAATTTCTTCGTAGTATGCTCTCTGTATAGCAAAAACTTGCCAGTTAGGTTGAACTGAGAAGACTGCATTCCATTTTGCTGAGATGCAGGATTTTGACCATTTACTATGGGAGGTGGCTCATTTTTCAAAGGATTGTTGGAATCTGTGTACAATGGATACTGGTAACCACTTGACTGGGACATTTTGCTGCTTTAACAATCACTGAAACAAAATACATTATTTAGAAAGTTTCTTTTTATTTAGGAAAGTAACAAGATACATATTATTTAGGAAGCTTTTTTTTTTAATTTAGGAAAGTAACATGCTCTTAAAGACACAAATCTCTACACATAGCCTGAAAGAAATAACTACATTATCAGATCGGTGTCTCCGAGATGTGGAGTATACAATAATGACAGTTAAATGCTCCAGCTTTCTATTTTAATCCATAATCTGTTAGACGAACGACATAAAAAGAATTCAGTTAAGTGCAATTGCCTCCCAGCAACAACAAGAATCATGCAACACTGCCAAATTATAGGCTTAGATAGCGGTTTCCAAGCTCAGCCAGAGATCTCCACAGAGGCTGCAAGAAATTGTGAGAGATCGAGAGATTAAGACAGATTGAAGAGAATCAAGCCTCGTTTGCCGATTACCGCCTTGATAATCTACAAGGATAGATATATATATATATACACATATATGTATATATATATGGATACATAGATCAGCAGCAGGTTGACGTTTGGACAAGCCAAAGCGCATTGTCAGCGTGCCGAAAGGTTAAAATGCAGAGGAAAACCCGAGACGTCCGAACCGCCCGTCCCGCCTTACCTTCCGCAATGATGTGAGTAGCCAAAAGTTAGGAACGGTTGGACGCAGGCTCGCGCATCGCCCTCGTTGCCGTTCACCTCCACGCAGCACCACACGCAGGGATGAGCACTCCTCAATAGCAGCGATTCATGAACGAGAAAACGGCACGCAGTGCTGCACGCACAACATTACGTGGCAGCCCGAGCGACCGCTGCGCCATGCACGGAGTGGACTACGGCACGTGACGTGACCAGATGGCATTGCTTCTGCACGCGGCGCGACTTTGGCCGATTGGTTTAATCGCAGCGACTATCAGTCTTATCAGTCGCTCGTAATCTCGCTTGCTAATAGAGGATAATTATCTTTAGCTACTAGATCATTATATCTTTATATCTACATCGCAATGAATATTAATATATAATTGGAAATTTTTTCTCACGCAAATTTGCCGGTTCAAATTACAATTACTGATCCCCTAATCAATGACTTTAATAATCAACTTAAATTTATATACTGATTAATTTTTATTCGCGCTGATAAACTCGACCGAATGCACTTAAAAAACAAAAAATCTGATTCGTTATCTCTGATCTAATCATTTTTCTTCTTAATACATGTATTAATATTCACGTATACTGACAAGTTAATTAATCACAGATCGAGTGGATCGGAGCTTGATTTGTTGACGTTATTTCCCGCGCGTACGATCATCATCGATATTTTTAAATGGCGCTAACATTAGACAATCCATGCAAAGGGAACGTGCGTTTCTCGCGAATGTCGAAGCGACTGACTGCTCGCGCTCAATTCTCAAATCGCTTTCGCAAATCGCGTTCTTGCGAGAGAAAATCAACCGCAGCATCAGCAAAATATGTACATCAATAGAATATATATTTCTCAATAAATAAAATATGTTTTGCAATCTGTGGATGAAGTTGGGGATGATTTGGTCATCGAAGAAGTCTGCATTTTTTGGTTCTTTGGAATGATGGAAGATACAAACAACAGTGTAGGAATGGCAGCGCACAATAAGAACGTGGAAGGCTCCGGAATTGCTCGTCGTCGTCGTCGTCGTTCTCAGTTTGTTCCCAAGGCGGTGCCCTGCAGCGCCGCTCGCAAATTGGTAACCCGGGTCTGCAGCTCCGCGGCGGTATTTTCATTTATGTGCGGTTGCAAGAACTTGCACGCGTTGGCCAATCCGCTGCTCTTGAGATGCTCCTTCAGTTGGTCTGAAAAAAACAGACGGCGCGTGAAACTGTAAGATCGTCGGACGGATCAAGTAACAGCACACTCCTTCCCTTCCTGAATAGATCGAATCCTCGAGATACATACCTGATTGCAGAACGCTGTCGAGCAGCGACAACGCGTTCAGTACGATGTGCACGCCGAGATCGCCGGCGCGCGCGAAGAACTCGCACATGCTGCGCCCGAAGCCCGCTTTGATTAGCGGCTCTTCAGACTCCGCCGGGCAGATCCGCGTCAGTATCGTGAGGCCGAGAATCGCCTCGTTCTGCATAAGCGCGTGTTGCGCCAGAAGCATGTTCACCAGGTGACGCACCGCGCCGTGTTTGATAATCGACAGGGCAATCTGCTTGTCCCTGAAAAGTGTGTGTAAATTTTCGGAACTTGTGCCGCCGTTGAGCCGTCGTCGAGAGGAACGAACCTGCTGTTGTTTATCAGCCAGGCGATCAACCGATTGGCTTCACCCTGGACGCCAGGGTGGTCGTCGGTGCCGCACCACTCAACCGCCCGCTTGATCAGGTCCTCCCTTCGTCCCAAAGAGATCGCCGCTTCCTCTAAAAACAAGCAATAATTATCAGCCTTAATTATCGCAGAAATCATTCTGTATCACGATGAATATTGCTTTCACTCTCGAAAGAAATTTACGATCTCTCTTACTCTGGCCGTCTATGACTATCCTGAGTGTGCCCAGCAATTTGAAAACGACGGGGAAGGTCGGGATCTCTAGCATTGGATAGAGCACGTCGATCAGACCGTCGGCAAGAATCAGCGACTTATTCTCCGCGGGTATAACGAGATTGCGTAACGCGCTGAGCAATGCGTGCTGGCATCTGATGTCGCCGGATTTGCTGCCATTTTTCTCGAGAATCTTCAACAGCTTCCGATGAATGCCCTGCTCGACCATGCGCTTGCAATGCGTGTCGGTCCGCGCGACGTTTCCCATAGCCAGAACCGCGGTGATCTGCAAGTCTTCGTCAACGCTCTCCAGCCATTCCACCAGTTTCTTGTATACCGGGCCCTTGCTGTCGTCGTAAAGGAAATTCATGCTGTCGTCTAAGCGCAAAGTCGTACGTTTGTTAGAGCCGATGAGACATATTGCGTTTGAATTTGCGTTTGAACTCCTGGGACTCACCTCCAGTTAAAATCAAGACGATCACGTTGCAGGCAACTTTGAGAATCGATCGGGTTTCTTCGTCGTTGCATTGCGGACCGTGTTTCTCTAATAGTTTCAGGAGCAATTCGCACACTCCTGCCTTAGCTAATAACAGCTTCGCTTTTTCTGTTGGAGAATTATATTATTAAATCTACCGTCCGATTCGACTTAATTCGATTGCACATTTAAATCCAATTTACTTAAGTCTACTTATACTGAAATATTTAACCACCATAATCCGAATTAATTAACTTCATTTGCACAATTTAAATTAATTTAATTTCAATCATCAAGTCATTGGCTTACCGTCTTCCGCTTGGCCGTGCAAAAGCTCCAAGCACATCTCGGACAGCTCGGAGGAAGTGTCGCTGGTCAGTATATCAACCAGAATTCTCGTCAATCTCTCATCGAGAAATATAATATTGTCATCGTTCAATATGCCAAGGATGAGTAACACGTGCACCGCCGCTTCGCCACCGGTAATTCCATCTTCCTCCAAAACGCTGCAAATGATTGGTACCATGTCCTCCTCGAGTGCCTGGTGAAGTATATCTTAATAAAATTATCGATTACCGTTGCTTTCCATTTTGCAATATCATTGCCGATTGTCGACCGCAACGTATAGATATATTTTCAAAACATTTACCTTCCTGTACAGCGCTTCTTGATCCACCAAAAAGTTCAGTAAAAATCCAGCAGTTACATTTCGCAGAAAGCTGGCACCTTCAACGTTACCTAAGGCAATTCCCTTCTTCAGCAGTGCCAGGATTACTTTCAAACCATCCTGCTCCCTTATTAGATTTTTACCGAGCTCTGTAAAGCAAATTGCTTATCGTTAGTTTTTCAATAATGAAACAAATACATTTATAAATATTCAATATAAGTAAATATCTCCCTATATGTATCAAAGAAAAGCTCTGAAACACTTTACAACCATCATTATTCAGAAACAGATAATTACATAATATAGATCTTTTTCACATAAATATAATATTGTAACAACCGCTCTCGTAGCAGATGTTCCCTAGAGCTCTGGAAGTCTGCGTCAATATGTCTATGTCCTCTCCCTTTAGCAGATTAATCAGTGCCCGTATCAGCTCGAAACTGGTACATTTCTCCCTTCCCCGATCAGTCTTCGCGATCTCCGCAATGGCTTTCGCGGTCTTCGCCACGATCTGTTTAGATCTGTGCCCGAGCAGGGTCAGGAAGACTTCGTCGATGACCAGCTCGGTGGTCTCTGGAATCATACACGTCGCCAGTTGTCAGTAATTTTCGCCCTATACGCAACGTGCAATGTACTGCAGCGCGTTTATCGCAGATTTATCCATCCAGTCATTTTTTTTTCTCTTTACCTCCGATCGAAGTTTTGCTGACATTCACCACGGAATCCAGTATCTGAACGACGTTGGGGCATTCCTCTTGCGAGGCCTCGAGCCTCACGACGCATTTCAGGTCGTCAACGAGCTTGTCGATGTTATGCTTCGCCTCGCCTGTAACGCGCGACGTCGGGAGTTACATCTACGTATGGCCTTTTCGAAAATAGACAGACCTATATCGCGCGAGAAGGGGGATGCGGTGGAACGCGACGAGGATGATTTACCTTCCATCTCCGTCCTCCAGGCAGGTCCGCGTCGTCGAATTCGCAGAGCTCGTACTGCGCGGCGATGCTGCCCGCGTATATCGCCACCACCCGCGCGATCCTTCCACGAAAAAAAAAAAAGAAAAACAAAGATCCCGGCGATCCTTATTTCAACGTACGATCGACTGCCTCTATTCTAAAGTCATTGTAACTGATTGTAAGCCGAGCATCTTCTCCGTCCCGAGACCGCCTCCATTCAGTCACCCTTGTTATTTCAGTGGGACATGCGCAAAACGAGGACGTCGTCGCACTCGTCGCGCGCTCTTTTCACTTACTTTTTCTCACTCTAACGTAGTTGGAGTGTCCATTAGGGAAGCCGCGAGCCATATATCGTTGGCGTTGGAATTGGAGTAGTTGGAGTATTCACTGTCACATGTGGCACAGGTGAATTATCTCGTGTGTCATGTGCCACATGTGACATGGAATTTTCAAATCATTATTATGCGATTTTTTAAATACCGGGTGTCGATATAATCACGAGCTACTTTACCGACAGTCCCGGTGTTACCATGCGCGTAAAGAAAGTTATTTTTTTTATGTTATTACCAACTGCGCCGGTATTTATACGAGGATCGCGAGGTTTAGAGCTTCATGGAGCAACCAGTGTGCTTGGCGCTTTAAAAATGGCAGACACTATCGGCTAATTCGATTCCTCCAAGTAACACAATGGCAGAGTCGAATGACACTGTGGAAACTCCCGCAACGAAGTCCGCGAAACGGAGGAAGAAAATTTATGGTATATGTTATTCAAGAGTAAGCGTATCGAGGAATATTCGCTCGCGTAAATATTGCTCGCTGCAAGCTAACCTCACTTTCTCGAGTGCTGCAGTGCGCTCTCTGCTCTGCTGTTTGACATGTGTTACAAATGTATAAGAAGCTATAAGTTGTTTGTAGAAATCGATTCAGCCTTAATTTTAAATGATGCTAAATTGCAATAATCTTTGCACAGCGTACTTTACATTTAATATGGAATGGGAAGCTTCTGAGTAACCGTTTCAAGATGCCAAAATATTTTGGCTGTGAGCAAATGCTTTCCACGACTGTGCGAAATTAATATTTCAATCTTTCTATTATATCTGATAGTTATCGCACTGCAATAATTCTATCTTTCAATAATAATTATTTTTTATTATATTCAAGCAAACTTTAAAAAAAATTTTTTTCTATTGACATTTATGCAACATATTAAGGTTTTCTTTAATAAAATAATTACTATATTTCTGATTTATACTTATTTTTTATCTAATTATTTGCAATGATGAAGTAATTTTTTTCTATCGATATTTATGCAACATAAGGTTTTCTTAGAGTAAAGTTATTACTATTTCTGTAGCTGCAGTATTTCTGAGCACCGTCGCGAGTATATCTGCCCTCGCTGGATTTTCCAGGGCAGTGGCGGTAACCAGGAAGCGAGATCCAAAACATTTTGGAGATGGAATTTCTGGTATAAAAGGATATCATGAAACTGGAGCCTCATTAGCAATAAGAGCCCTTGGCTGGGGCACAATTTACGCCATCACAGGGTGCAGTTTATTTTTTTATGGTATCTGGAAGCTCTCCGGCGCCACTAATATGGAGGAATTCAGATTCAAGATGGGATCCCTGCTACCAAGGATATCTAAGAATGATCCACCCCAAAGTAGAACGGAGTTTGAGGGTTTGACGGATCTATTGACATATATTTCTGAAGATTGGGAACGGAACAAGGAGGTATAATTAACTCAGCTGTTAGATATAATAGACATTTTAATCTTTCTGGAAGTTCAAAATATCTTAAATACCAGAATAGAAATATTGGGGATTAATATATAAATTTATATGAGGATATAGAGAAAAACTTCTCAAGTTTTTGTAAATTCTCAATCCTTTCGAATTACTTTGTACAATAAAATTAAAACATTGAGATTAGATCATCGAGACTATTTAATAAAAAATGTTTCACAAAAATTTGAATAGTTTATTATCTAGATTGCAGTTTTTTTCCTCAAAGTGTTTTCACATTGGAGTTTAAAGATTAATTTTTTTAAACATCAATTTTTTGATATCATAAATATGTGGAAGTCTTTTATGAACATTTATAAACGACGCGATAATTTCGTTTGTTTTTGCAGGAATAATGTATTCGTCATATCTTGACCGTACCGATCATTGTTGACACTTATTGGCATACGAATCGCGTAATCGTATGACTGGGAATCGTACGATTGGGTCACGCACGGGTTTACTGCATGCATGAATAGTAACGCGAAATAGCAAATGTTGAAAGGAAATGCCTTGCGAAAAGAATGTTTTGCGAAACTGTAAATTAAATTGATTACCGCAAGTTGACTTGTGGAGAAAAACCTTGTATATTTATTGTAGTTAGTTTTATCTAATAAAATAAATTACGAAGCGTTATTTCCTTCTCGTTTCGCAGAATAATGACGCACGACACTCAATAATTCATATAAGCCAAATCTTTTCTTTATCATCTTGATATTATTTGCGATAGAGTGTATGTGTATGTGTTAAATTTTAAAGTATTTTTATTCCACTCTTAGCCAAAATATTTAATCTGCAGTGTTAGATTTGTTTTTTGAAATATATTATTACCCTCTCATTAGTTTTTATTGAAGACTTCGCCGTGTTGATTGAAAAAGTTTCCATCAAACGCAGCGCGATATCATTTATATCATTTATTATGTTCTCTGTACATGATAGATTTAAAAAAGAGATCAGGAACTTATTAAGTATGTAAGATATCTTGTTCGTTCTGATGATGAGATAAATCTGCATAAACTTGTTTTGATAAAGTCACGTAATGCAACAGTTCGCACGTTCTGTTGTAAAAAAAGAGCAATGCATATTTGACGAATTTTGCATAATAATAATAATAATATCGTACGACGAAAAAATATTGATTATGCGAGCACGCTGTTAACGCAAGATAAATCACGTTAGAGGAACGTGAAACTTGATACGCACTCGCGTGTGAAAAGCGACGTAAGATATAAAGGTGATTTTGAAATACGGAGGATTACGCAAGAGGTGACGATTTAATAGTAAACAATCAGCGTTGCATATAAAAGTGCACAGTATAATTATTCAAGAAGAAACATCAAGTTATATTCATGAATGCAAAATAGCAGTTGCTTAATTTTTCTGGACTCGTTACCTATCGGAAATGTGCGTTATTGAAATTAACGAATCAAGACCATGAACTATGAACTTAATATTTATAAAACATGAGCGATTGTTTACTACATTTTATCGCGATTAAATGACTATGATTGACGATTACGATCAAATATGTATAACGTTATATTACAAGCGATAAAAAAATGTTTATATACATAATTGCAGAATTTTTAATTTATGTACAGAATTAAATATTCTTCCTTTCAAAGTGCTTTACGTCTCTAAATGTAAAAATACAAAAATATAGAAATATTGTTATGCGATACGCGATAGTTATAGCTTACAATTTTTTACACAATAAACCACTAAAATTTTATTTAAAAAATTTATATTGGAGTCACTGATAAATATCCGTAATTGTTTATGTAAGACTTGAACTTTTCAAGAACGGTACATTTTAATGCAGTTTAATTTTTTTGTCCTTTTTTATACTTTCTGCAAATTCATTCTATGAATTATTTAAAAAATAGATTGTTCGTACGATCATTAAGGACTCTACGTCAGGTACATCTTCAATTAATTCAATTCTTTCGTTAATTCTTTCGACCTCGAAAAATAGCATCGAGCACGTTTCTCAGCACATTCCTCTACGCATTATTTAGGTCGCGACTTTTACTTTGACGCGTTAAATCTTTATTATTTAGATGACGAAGAAATAAATAAAATAGTGAAAAATTCTTTCAAAAAAATTAAATGGATCTATAGGAATTATAAATTAATGCTGCCCACAAATGGCCGCGTTCGGGCTATCAGCACTAGTGCGTCATTTTATCTTTAACATTATTAAACATAAAACAAGGGCAAAATGATGCAATAACTGATAACACGCTCCGACGCACGCTTGTGTCACGCTGACACTTAAAACTGACTTCTTTTTTTTTCATTTATGAAATTTGGGTAATTTGATTATTAAATTATCGAAAATTATATAGCGCGCTTTCGCGTTCACAGGATTTATAGCTGAAGCGATTTCGAGGCAGGATGATGGAAAGTAAGATGTAGAATCTGGTGCCGTGTAGGATTTGTAAGAAATTATTATTTACACGTACATGTGTTTTGGTCTTATAAATTATTATTAAATAATACCCAGTATATATATATAATATATATTCAATTGCAAAAGAGACATATAGATAGTAACAAAAAAATCATAATAACAATTGTGCAACAGCCGGTCGGACCTGAGAAACGCGCGCACGCTCGCCTCTCAACGCGTTCCATAGTACATGCAAAAGTAGCTCTTTATTAATTACATGTAAAAAAATGAAAAGAGGAGAATCGCTATGTATTTCCTCCCCCGAGCAAACGTTCTGCTCCTTCTCCTCCTCCTTAGGATGCCCTCCGTGCACAGGCGGAGGGTTAATTGGCTATGGATCCTCGATTAGAATCTCTATGTATCCTACGACCTAAGGACCCGGAAAAAAATTCTATCCTAGGATCGACAGACCGTAGGATCCTACAGATCCCATGAAATATGAATCCTAGATGTTATAGACTCGAAAATTTCATAAATTCATTGTTTCACGAATCCTATAAGGTAGATCTCAGGATACGTGCAAGAATCCTGAGAAATACGTATCATAAATATGCCTTAGAATCTATGGGCTCGGGAGGACTGACTGTGATTTCACAAGTCCCGTCTTTACGAGTCCTAGGATGTAAGGATCCTGAGAAACATCTCACCCAAGATCTATAACCTTTTTAGGACATACGGCTCCTAGAATCTAAAAAGAGTTTAAGAAATATGATTCCTAAAATTCGTGGACTTAAGATTCGATGGATGTACGAAATCCTATGTACGAAACTAATCTAAATTCTTGTCTCAGACATATTTACAAGTTCTAAAAATTTAGAGCTCTGTACTTTAGGCTCTATCTATCTGTAACTTTATATTTCAACATCTTAATGAACGTAACAATTTCTTCATATCTTAGAATGTAGACTCCACAATACAGTGGCGGGTCTATAGGTTCCCGGAGGCCTAGTATCCTCCGGAGGAGCTAGTATCTCCCATCTTAAAAAAAAAAACCGCAAATAATCGCACATTTATTTATTATTAAGGAAATTAAGATAAGACACTTATGCCAAAAATCACGTTTCAAAAAAATATATGTATACATATATGTATTCAAAATTAGTGTTATATTTAAAAAAATATAGATTAACATAAATAATTTCAATTGACAACATTGGAATGTACAATTATTTAACAAAACAATTTTGAAATAAAAAAAAATGAAAAAACGATTATGCATTATAGTTAAAATATCGCATCACAGTTCATAAAACTCTAAGTTTAGCGATAGTATCCACTGAACACGTGAATCCTAGAAGCCGTTAAACCCTAATATTTTCTAGTATAAATAGATCCTGGATGTATGGCTACGTCGACCAGCGGCGTGAGAAAGAAACAGAGAAAGAATTAGAATAGAGGAAAGTAAATAGAATTGGGTAAAAAAAAAAAAAAAAAATAAGAACGGGAAAAGGGGGGAAAGATAGGGAGAAAGAATAGGGCGTCCAGGCGCCCTAGTGTGCCGCGTAGCGCCTTAATTGGCTTTGAGCTTGTCGTTATAGCCGATGTGACCGGGTGCGCTATTGGCGAAGTGCTTCTTGTTCTTCTTTCCAGCCAGGTACGCCTTATGGAAGAATTGCGCGAATAAGACAAAATAGCTGAAGTACATCGCGAAACCAATATGGATATTCATGCGAGTGATGTTGCAGTCCACGTTGCCGCTCTCCAGGTATTGATACGCGGATATGTTGATAAAGCAACCGATCACCATTTGGACGAGCTGTAGCGTGGTGATCACCATCGAGATCGCTTTAGGCGGCCTGTACCGCATCGCCTTCAGAGCGTAATAGCTGTACATGATCGAGTGGACGCAGTAGTTCATCACGACGTACCATCGTGCGGACGCGGTGTACTCCGAATACGAGAACCAGGAGTACAGCAAGACGGTAATGTGGTGATACCAGTGCAGGAAGATCAGCGGCTGTTTGCGTAGCACGATGAAGATCGTGTCGCCGAGCTCGGGTAGCTTCGACAGCACGAACATCCACGTCCAAAAGCCCGACACGCAATCCTGCTCGATAAAACTGCAAACAAATCGACGATTTTTTATTTTGTAGAACATTCTCAGTTACAAATTTTTCAGGAATTTGCAAAGAAAATTTTATGTCAATCCTTCTATTACGTAATCATTTGTTCAGTGTCATTATTTCTCGTTCCAAGAAAATGATGTCAAGATTCTTTATCTTCACTTCGAAGAAAATTGATGCAAATTTATGTTAAATAATTCCAAAATAAAAAAAAAACAAATACGAAAAAGCAATTCAAACAGAGCAAAGATATATTATATATTTATTCGCCCACTAGTCGCCCACAGTTAGACATGATTTGTAATATTTAATAACGCATAAAATATTATGCTGCAAAAAATTAACTTTTTTCCGATACTACTTTAATTCATTACATATAAACCTGCTGCAAACTGTATAAAAATTCAAACTAAAAGTGTAAATGGTATGTTTTAAAGTAATTTAAAGTATAAATTAAAATCAGCTAATTAAAATATTATGTAATAATATTATGATTTTAATCTTGGATTGAATAATAAATTGCATGTGGATATATAGTACAAAAAAAAAACAATCAAGAGAAAACTATAAGTAAAATATCTTTCGAAACAATAATTTTAATCGCATTTAAATCGCAGCGATAAACGCTACACAAACACATTTAAACAATATGTAAATATATAATATACAAGTTGCTTATGTTAAAATATCAATTTGTTTAAATTTTCGGCTTGTGAATAAAATTGTATTTCTTTTAATATAAATAAAAATCTGAAAAAAATCATCAAATTTTATATTCTACTTTATTCATAAAAAATTTAGATATTTATTGGTTTGTCATATTACATATACGCCACAATATACGTCATTCTGCTAATCTTTTTCGCATAAATATTCTATATTTGCAATTGCGCATGTCATTTTTTATATTTAAAGCTACAATCACACGTAATGTAAATGCGTACATAATCAAATTTCAAAATCAATTTTTTTACAAATAAAAATCACAGAAGTGTATAAAACATAAATTTAATTTTATTAACAATAATAAATTTTAAGACTCTTCAAATAAAAACAAATAGGTAACAAAAGGCACTAAGAGTCAACACGCAAAAAACGTTGCGTTAAAACTTCTAATTTATGGAATACAACTTTATTAGAAGTTTTAACACAACGTTTTCTGCGTGTTGACTCTTAGTGCCTTTTGTTACCTATTCATTTTATTAAATGACCAGAACAGAAATTACATGCAATTAAGTTACAAATAAATAGCTATAAGCAATTAAAAACAAGCATAAATATAAAATTCCATCTAATAAATCATGAAGATTGGCATGTACATATGATAATTAATACGTCCATATATTATATAAAAGTCTTAAAAACGGAAAATTATTAATATTAATCCTAATTATTTATTTAATCTTTATCTTAATTATTTATAATTTTGACGTTATATGATTTTAATTTCGTATAATGAATTAGAGTTCTCGACTTTAAATTTTAAATTGTCCAGATTATTGTTAAATATGCCATTTAAATTTAAAATTATTTCTGTATTTCTTCCAACGTTTTTAAGTTCGTCATATTGGTAAAATCGTAAATAATAAAAAATTGCAGAAAAGAAATAAATAATAATTTTAATCTAAAGAAGATATTAATTTCTTCAAAATTATGAGATGTTTATCAAATTTATCACGAATGGTATCGAATAAAAATTGTTTATTGATATTTGTAAAATTTTGCATATTTAATGATTAAATCACAAATAATGATAATATAAAATATATATGCGTATTATAAACATGAATTTTATGATAGATTTACGACTTTGAAGTTTATAACTTTATTTGCTATAAATATCTACATAAATTAATCTATATCATTAAACATGCATTATTATACGAACGGATATTTTCGGCAAAAATAAGATACCACAAGTATGTATATATTATTCTTTCATTCAGTTATAAAAAAAAAATAGGCATTCATTAATGTTTAGTTAGTGTCAACTTAAAGCTTCTATTACGAAAATATTTATAATAAAGATTCGGGGACATCAAGCTTAACTGTCTATCGAGTTTAATGAAACGTACCTTGGTATACAAATGCTGTGGAACAGTCCGTGATGCTTGAGAACGTGTATTAGTTCGGGCGCCGTTCTAGTGAAGCCGATGATAGAAAAGCTAGCCAATAGCGTATTCCAAAGACACAGTATTCCCCTGAGTTCGAATCTGGGCCTGCTGGCCATGTAGTGTTGCAAGCCGAATATAAGGATCATATACAATCCGCAGTAATAGAAACCGTTCGTCCAATTCTTCACCATCCATTGCTTGGTCTCGTGGTGGCTGAACGTCTCCTCGAAATTAAAAATGTAGGAATAATTCGGGAGAGTTACCTCCATATAGTCCACCTTGTTCATCTTTGCGTTTCAGGTCGATGTCTCGGTTGGCAATTCTGTAACAGACACGGATAAACAATAATAGTTTCGCTGCCGAGTTATTTACAATCGTGAAATCTCAGAGTCGTTAGAAAAGAATTTGGTTTCTTTTTCGAATTCAAGCGAAATAGGCTTATGACGGAGCTTGAAAAATCCCGAGAAATTATTACGCGTATAATGTAAATATTTATACTTTTTAACGTCTTCGCGAAACGTCTCGTCTTCTCAGAGCTCGTTGAATCATAAAATCGATCCCTAGAACAATCTGATCTTATATTTAAAATTACGATCTCAAGTATGATCACGAGATTGCCACGAGATTATTTTATTGGCTGGACGAAATTAAGCTCGGACTATGGACAGTAGTCTGATTTTATATTATAAGTCGTCTCGAATCTGATCTTAGACGAGCTTGAGATTTTATCCTGAAGTCAATGAAATAACCGTATCGGTTTCACGAGAGATCGTACTTAAAATGATATCAATCATATTGCATTTAATGTTATCTCCAATGCGATCTCCGAGACGATGATGCACGGTAATTTCATTGACTGATTTGGGCTGGTTTTTTAGACTGGACTTAAGATAATTACCAAACAGATCGGACTATGGTCGGTACACAGTCCGCTCTTACATTTAAGTATTAATCTCAAGCAGCAGATTAAGCTAATTATTATCTCAAAACGCTGCACAGTAATTTCATTGGCTGAAAGGGATCTTACGACCACTTCAGCACCAAGCACGATCTTTAAATTCAAGATCGGACGATCGGATGTTCATGGTCCGATCTTATCTTCAAAAAAATCGATCTCATATTCAAGCCTGATTACGAAGTCTTAAGACTCCGTCCAGCCAATAAAATGATCGTACAGTGTCTCGAGATCATGCTCAGAATCATCTTGAATATATATATAAGCTCAGACTATGAGAGCATTTCATCTCTTATATTTATACGTATACACGATGTACCACCTTCGGTATTTTGAAATGATGGGAAATAAAAAATCCATATGTATATTCTGAATCTTTTTATCCTAAAGAACAAACAAATTTCTTACGGAAAAAATTATCAAACTTTTGTATGAGCACTTTTAGTGAATTTCTTTGTCTGGATATACTCGTCAATAATGTAATATTAATATGTCAAGGACATAATTTATCATCCAAGATGCCAAACGATGAATGTCTTGCTCAACGGAATTTTGCAGGTCGTCATTGGCAAGTGAACTGCGGTATAACTAATGGCATACCGCAGTTCACTTGATGTGAAATGGAATACTAGCCCGATATCTTCCGTGCTGCTCATGCAGAAGTTTGGTAACGCGTGAAAGTTTGATAATTTTTTTTTTATAAGAAACTTTAGTTTTTATTTATGATAAAAGTATTCTTTATAATAAAGGTATTTATAATAAAGGTATTCTTTATAATAAAAGTACCTACAAATATACACACCTACGTACATGTGTTTGTTTTTCTTATTTTAAAATTTCTTATTTTAAAATAATTCTTTATAATAAAAGTACCATACAAATATATATATATATATACCTATGTGTGCTTGCTTTTCTTTTTTATTTCAAAATACTGTATTTCACACGTCGTGTATACACTCTGCATATTTAAGATCACCTTAAGACTGGTTAGGAAAATTTCAGCCGACGAAATGATCGTATGATGCATCGAAATCATACTTAAGATCTTAGACTTAAGATTGTACTTTGAGTACTGCTCGAAAAAAAAAAAAGCGAGACCTGCGATCCTCCAAACGTCGTCAGGCCGCGCAGCCGCGCCGCGCACGCGTGAGACACGAGCGCGCCAATCCGAGTTCGACTCTTGATCTCACGCGATGCACCGATCGATGCGTGAGCGAAGGCCGGGAATCACGCCGCGGATATACATACGCGAAATGTTTTACAATGTTACGAAAAATTCCGCATACGCGGAAAGATTCGTTTCGTACGTATAGTTCATTATTATACATACGTATACGTATAGTCTCTGCCGTGTATCGTATTACATAAGGACGGCATCGAATTTCGTCCGCGTGATATCGAAAAAACATCGGATAATTCACGCAAATTGCACCGGCGGCGATCGTTAGAATTATGTCGAAAATGAGACTGTCGCCAGTCACGCGAAAGACACCAACGTTGACGACAATTTAGAAAGATTACATCATTACCGTGTCTCCTGCTATTGGGAAAACTATGACGTTTCGAGTAATAAAATTGCGCGAACGCGACGAAAATAAAATTTCCGTTTTAAAGAAAAAGGATAATAATTCCTGTGCTTTAAGAAAAATACATTATAATTATTCAATCAAAATAAATTTCCCGTTCTCTGCAAACGCAACATAAAGCTAAGTTTTCTGCGCTGAGGAAGAGCAAAAAAGCCAAAAATTTTTTCCAAAAATTTTTGAAAAAAAATTAAAACTAACACTGAAATGATATTATCTACCGTACGATATAAATACTGTAATAAACTTCATACAAGCTTTAGACGTGTCTAACAATAAGCGTCGATTGTCTCTGATAACAGAAAATTACAGCGTAAATACAACAATTTCGAGCGTAAATGATTATCCTTACTGGTATTTTTAACGGCGATGTCGAAATTGGCATGCATAAAAAATGATTTTTTTTTTCACCAATTTAATGTGTAGCCGAATCATACAGCATTAATAAATAGGTTGTTTACTCCGTCTTCGGGGGAGTAAACCCGAGTCAACGTTCGACGTTGAACCGCGCGTGAAATCGCGCGAAGTAATACAGAGACGGAGAGCCCTCGTGAAAACGGCTCTCGCTTGCAAAAACGCGAGGAGACACGCGCAAGGAACGTCGTCGTCTCGCCGTTCTCTCCGCACGGTCCTAAATACATATAGGCGCGACAAGATGTGCGCGAGGCATTAGCGCGCGCGGCCTTTTTTACATCCAGGTCGTGCCTGTTCGGAGGTGCGCTTTCTGTGAATGATTTCCGATCGGCGCGCACACGCGCGCACGTCGATCGGGTGCCCACGTTGCACGAGTTGAGGAGGAGAGGTGTCCAATTCTCGTTGAATTTCATTCAACCCATACACGTATATATACCCTGCACATATACGCGCGGTGCACGCAAGCGCGCTCGCGCATTTACACACGCCACACGCACACACATACACACATGACATACACACAGGCAGGTAGGCGTACATACCTAGGACTGACGTTGCACCTTTCGCCAATTTTTGCAGAGAGTCGTCCAGCGAGGAAGCGTTCGAGGCGGGCGCGCCCGGCGTGACCGTCGTCGCCGTTCTCTCTGGGCCTACACCCGGCTCCCCCGAGTTGTCAAACGTCAAAGAAACGGGTGCCCCGGGGCGGCCGCGAGCCGGCGTATTCTCGACGTGGGCAAGGCCACTTCCTACTGAAGCGAGAGAGCCCACCGGGCGTCCGGTAGGCACACCGGCACCTTCGTGATACACGAAGTGAAATCGATAGATAAACAAAACGCGGACACACGAGAGGGGCAGTACTCTCGTCGTCGTCGTCGTCGTCGTCCTCGCAGTCGCGTCGCGCAGTCCCTCTCGTCGCTCTCGTGACTCACGGATCTCTCTCTCAATATAATTCCACCGCTTCCTCGCTCTTTCCGGATCTCACGAGCGATTTCTTGTATATACATACATATACACAGTATATGTATATATATGCGTCTGTGTGTGTGTGAGAGTGTCCTAAGACGCGCCGACGTACTCGGAGTACTCGATCATACCCGCACACACCACGAAGACAAGCCGCGCTATGCCGCGCGAAACTGTCCGCCCGCCTTCTTGTACCCGTCTTTGCACCGCGTACGCGCCGCGCATCCCCTCCCTGCACCATGCCGTCAATCGCTCTTTCGCACCGCCACTACTATACTCCCGTGTTCCACACCCGTGACGCGCGCGCCGATCGCACAAATGGCGACATCTGTCCGCGTATCGGTGCAACCAAAGGCCGAACTCGCCCGCGAGGCGCGTCGGTAATGCAGCGACCGCGCGGATCGGCGAGATTGATGGCGATCGCGACGGTGTTGTTGTGCGACATTGCAATGGCCGTGGAGCGTCGACCGTCGGGCTCGTGTTTATGTCGTTGAACCCGCGTGGTAGCCGACATGACAGGCAAGCAGAGTCAGCCGGATGACAGCGAGGACAGTCAGTCGCGAATTAAACTGATAGCGGACAAGCGCAGACTCTTGGAGGAGAAATCCGCTCAGGTACGACACTCGAGTCCCCTCCCCGCCCTCCTTTCCCCTACGTGTATATACAGGGTCTTGTTGGACTAAGCAACGTATTTTTTTTTTCGTTGCACTGCGCTATCGCAGCCCATGTATTTACTGTCTTCCGTTCGTTGCTAAAAGAAAAATGATAAACAATGTGACGGTGGGACAAGAGCTGCGCCCACTGTGCATGGTATTTAAAGTATGTGACGGTACAGGTGATGTGTACTTTTAAATTGATATCTCTATATATAGATACAAGATAGGAGCGTCTAGGAATATCATTCTTAAATTCTCGAATTTGAGTTTATTTTATGCGCAGGATTAAATTTTATGTGTGCGAAATATACAGCTAATAAAATCATTCGTAAATATGTATAGAGAATGGAAAAGTGTAAAATAAATTTTCATTAAGTTGATGAATATATACATAGAATATCTTGAGAGAAAATTCTGTAAAAATATCAGCTTGTTATCTTGTGGTAAATACTGCAGACTATTCTTTGTTTCTGTATATGTAATCATAGAAATTACGTAAGAAAAATTGTAATTTGCAGACTGAGGCGGAAATCAGAAGCTGTTTTGAAGATCTGACAAAACTCCTGCGCTCTAGAGAGAAGCAGCTGCTGCGCCAAGCCGAAGCCGTTCACAAGCAACAGCTCTCGCTAATAGAAACTTCATTGGACTTCTTACCGTCGTCGGTAGCGATCCTGGACGACAGGAGCGAGTTAGAAGAACGGATACGCCGATTCGGTAATATCGAGACACATGGAGCAAACGGTATCACAGTAAAGGATGCGGAGCCGTATAAGGTTGTAGAGTATCAGGATGCCAATAAGGATCACGTTAGTTTTGACAAATCCATCACCAAGAAATCAAACCAAGATGCCAGAGATCACCTGCCACGCTGCAAGGATTTTGTATCCGACTACAGGACCGTGCGTATCTCGAGCCTACCCTCGACGTTCCTCACCGATAATCAGCTGCGGGACTCGCAGAACGTAAAGGCGACGAATGCATTGAGGATCTTCAAAGACCTGTCCATATCGAGATGCTCACCGCTTCTAATTATTAAACGCAAACTCGGCCTGACACACGTATCCTTGGACGGGCTGCACGCTTTCGACAAGGCGTATTCACGGGACGTGCCGTCCTTCGAGGTGTCGTGCGAGACCGCGGAATCGTGCGAGCTGGATGCGTCGACGAACGAGGTGACCGAGACTAATTCGCGTGAATTTGACAAGGTCTCGGACCTTCCGAATACGAATTTTCCGGAATTCCGGGATAATTCCGAATTGATTGGACGTCCGAAGGAATGGCAGAAAAACTGTAATAAACATCCTGTACAGGTGCAACAATGGTTGCAGCAGATACTCGCGGAGACCGAAATAGAGCCTGCGATTCACGAAATTGGGCAGTTTTCAGAGATATCCAAGGCGAAGCTCTTGCGTAACGAACTATAATATTCCTATTCGTCGAGCGAACTACAGACATCCTTACATTGTGTTTCAATTGGGGCCAAAGTTTCCAAAACGATGGAAAACAAACTGAAAAGGCTGATCTACCTTAGAAAAGAAAAAAAAACTGCATGCCCGATACTCTTAGTTTATATAGTCTCCTGTAAAATAGATTCAGAAAGATATTCTCGCATTGTAGCTTTCCCGTGATCGCAGAGGAACGTGAGAGAGGATACCGAATTTGAATGATAAGGAGAGAAAGAGAAGAGAGAGAGTAAAAGATTTATTGTGTACATCGATAAAACTTTAGTACCTCTGCCACAAATGCTTAATGTGGTATTCCTTGTTCGAATACAACGAATACTTCGCCGTTCTCAAAGCATCAAACAGATTGATTTTAGATTTTAGTGCCCTTTTGAAAAATGTGTTTGAAAAATCCGAATTGTATAATCGATAAGACTGTGTTTTTATTCTACTAAAAACATCGCGTATTTATTTTACCGTGTATAAGGTTTTAATTTATACAGAAACACACTAGCTATGCTTGTTGATCAACATATTTTGACAGCATAATAAATGAGTCTTATTGCAACGATTTCTTCGAGTGATATCTTTTTTATAAATAAAAATTCACGATTGTACGATAAGATTGTTGTAAATAATTAATCGATTTAACTCATCGTCGTATCGTAATTCCAACCCTTTCTCATCACTTACATTACTAAATTGTGCGTATGCTTATAAATGTAGATTCTGCGATCAACTGATTCATTAAATGTTCAATATTTTGTAGATGTTAAAATTACATCAACTATTAGCAGAAAGCTATTAAACAGAAGCAATCTTGGATTATTACTTGTTTTTGCATTTTATCTGCTTAATGCTGTTAAACGAATATGTTAAAATGTGTTTTTATACACATTTAATACTATCAGAAAATAATATCCTGAATAAATTAATACTTTTTTTTTACACTAGGAATTAGAATTCCTATAATTAAATCGAAATATTCGTCGTTATTTTAAATAATTTTGTGTGTTAACGCATTTAATTTCTTATTAATTTTACTTCTTTAACCCTAAACTGTATAAATCTGACATGTACTTTTTATCATTAAAACAGTATGAAAATGACAATAATTTTAGACAAAATCCCACGGCTAAAAGTTTACTTCAAAATAAATTCTAATTTTTTATTGCGATATATCGATATATTATATGTAAGTTTATTAGATTAATACGAAAATTTATAACGGTGCAAATTTATTATATCGATATGCAAGATGTTTTATACTGTTTAGGGTTGATCGAATGCATATATTATATATATATATTTAATCAATTGTTCAAATCAGAGGAAAACGTTTGTTAGAAAAATAATTTATCCCGATATAATTGTATCGTTCTTACATCGAGCCTTTATAAAATACAGAATATATTTATTTATATATGTATATATATATATGCGATATATGTTATATCGACATATACGTATTAATATACAAGTTATCGCGGATAAACAGACTAACCGCGATAAAACTATTTAACAAAAATACAAAGAAAGGAAAATTGTAGAATAACATGCATCTATCATTGCTGTTAATCCTTTTACCGTGGTCAGAAATATTTAAAAAAAAAAGGAAACGTTTAAAAATATAAAACAATTAAAATTTTTTAATATTTAATAATATAATTATATATATTAATAAAGGATTAACAACAAAAATTGATCTTTGTATTGTTAGCAATTACAATACAAAAAAGAAATAAACTTTGCGACACTAATTTTTTTTCCTATGTTTTCGTATATGAAAAATCAAACATCAGTATTCGAATATTTCGATGAGATTTTTTTGTAAATAAGACAATTTCTTATTTGTGATATTGAGGCAGCAATGGAAGAAATTATATATGTATGTAAAATTATTAGGTATTTTAAAGTGCTGTTGAAATTGCACTTCAAAATAATGGTATCTATGTAAATTTATCTCTGTTACCAAGACAATTAGATAAGAGCTTAGGCGAAAGTTGAAATATGATGGCCTCGAAAATTTGTTAGGAAAATATATTTCGACGAGAGGTAAGATTCAATTCGAATTAAATCTAATTCTAACTCTGTGCATCCAGAAGATGATAAAAGAGATAAACTAAATCGAAGTAAGGTATTTTATCTCTGTAATATTATACATTATAAAAAGATATATATTCTTTTCTCTATTGCTATTTAGTGTTTTGGATTCATCTTCCAACACTGTCGTTACGCCGACTAAAAAAAATTCTTTTTGAAGAGAAAAAACAATCAATAATTAATATGTTGCGAAATGAATTAATAATAGTTTGATTCGTCTCAGGAACTAATTTCATTAATTAATAAGGCTAGAACTAGGAAGTAGAGCTTGGGTCATAAGACAGGCAGCAGGCTGTGAGGAGGCCGGTTTGTCAAGGTCCTCCAGGTTCTGCCCGAATATTCTCTGCTCCATCATTTCAGTGAGACTTGATAGAAGATCCAGTCCTCGAAGAAAGATGGGACGAAGGCGTGATCTTTAGTGAATGTGACCGGCATGCACAACTGCGACAGGACTTCCTCATACATCTTCAAGGATTCTGGACAGGACGCGCCGTTTCCCTACACACACACACACAAAATTAAAATAAATTAATAAAAAAAAATAAATTTATATTTACATTAAGATTCCATATCTAAAATTTTGTTGTTTTATCAATAAAGCTAGAAGTATCTATTAGCTTTCAATTAAAGTTAAAACTATTTTAGTGCATAATACAATAGATAAAATTACTAGAGTAGGCTTTTTAAATCAAACAGATGAAATTACTAGAATAGACTTTTTAAATCAAATAGATAAAATTACTAGAATAGAATTAAATCGAGTCAAATCAAATACTCACATGCGTCATATACTTTCCGGTAGACTTCAACACCTTCATGGAAGAGTTGAGAATTAATCTAATAAAATCCCAGGCATCGCCATGTGGCGTTGTGCTAATAGGAATGTCCGTCAGATCGCCGAAAACGTAATCAAATTGTCGTCCTTCTTCGATCATATGAGCTAACGCTTTCACACAATCACCGACAATGATCTGTAAAGATTATCATTATTATTCTTTTTATGAATCTAAGGTCATGAGAGCCGAAATTGAAATGTTTAAATTTGAAAATGTTCGGCTCTTAGAATTTAAGACCAAGCCTTACTTCGTAATTATCGCCCTTTCTCTTGTCTAGGCAGTCGCCACATATGCTCCGCATATGTTGACTACAGGCTTTCATAACGATGTCATCGATCTGCAAAAAAGAGGGATATAAGAAATGGATGGTACACTCCCGCACGTATTTCGCGTGAAATTCAATTCACGTACCTCTAGCATCGTGACAAACTTTGGCTTCTCTTTCAACAATTCCCATAATAGGCCGCCGTCGCCACCACCGAGTATCACAATCTCCTTGCCGGCGTAATTCTCTTTGCCTCGTTGCATCAGCGTTTCCGTATATATAAGATCTGCCTCGGACATGTCTGCGAGTAAAGAATTTCTAGTAAGTTGTAAATAATATGCAAAGTTGTGGCGTAATGCGACTTACTTTGCAGCTCGTCGAGCACCAGGAGATTGCCCAGCGATTTGGAGTGCACAATTTGTACCTTCTGATACGGTGATCTGGCCTCGAACACGAGCTTGTCGATGTCATATTCCAGCAGTCGCTCGTCTTGAATAAGGGTAATCTTTATTGGCAATACACACGTCGCCATCTCGCAATAATTAGTTAATTTTAAAAACATGCTTCTATACATTAAAAAAAAAAAACATTGCGAAGAGAGTAGAAAACAAGGTATCGGCAAGGCAAAAGCTGATAACACGCATGGGAACGTTAGCATCATAACCAGATGAAAAAATGATGTGAGGTAGTTGTAGAAAGATTAACTATATTATAAAAAACTGGGCGCTTTGTCATGCAAGAACAGAACAAACAATGTCCTCGGGATTAACGCGAAGAGACGTTCCAGACCGAACCGAGCCGAGCCGAGCGCAGATGTTTGCATATTACTGACTGAGTAAGATGCGTCTAGAATCATAGAAATCGCTAAGACTAAAGCTTTAAGCCGTGAACATCACATTTCAAATCGCTTATTATTCGTAGCTCTCGATGAGTTTTCATCTTAAACACGCTTCGTATACACAACTTTCGGTATCTGGGTCTTCCCATTCGTCTACACATTCTTTTCGTAAGAGACAAAGCTGAGAGATGTGAGGACATTTACAATACTAATATTTACGAGTCGGTGTACAATATTAATTTTTCCAATTTCGATCGAGCCCCTTAAGTACAAGCAGTTCCGTCGTAAGAGCGGCCGTTAGCTGTGGTCCGTAAACATAATTATAAATAAAAACTCACCGGCGGTAGGAAAGTATCTCTCAAAGGGTCCACCGCGTTTAATTGGAGTAAGCGTGTGCGACCGTGTAGCGGTTGCTGCTGTCTGCAACGCCGCTTCCAATTCTTTGGCGAACTACCCATAACCGGCCATCATCATCATCATCACCATGACCATCATCACCATCATTATCACCATTGTCATCGTCATCATCATGATTATCATCACCATCATCATCATCATTATCAAGCCGAACCAATGAGAATTGAACAGAACAAAGACACTATCTTGTAAAACGGAATCGCTACACTCCTTGATGTTAAGGAAGCTAAAAAAAGGTGTTAAGATCTGGCAAGCCATGATATATGGCAAGGCTATATTTTTATCCAACAAAATACGTAACAAGCGGTAAAAAAAAAAATGAATCATAATAAAGGTAGGCTGTGTCTGTGTGTGATTGTATTATCGTATTACTGAGCCGTACGACTAAAAGTGACGATCCGAAAATCTACAGATCTAGGAATCCAATAATTTTAATATTTAAGAATTTACAAATAGTATACACATTTTGAAAAAGAGAATCAAACAAGCTATTCGTAATTACTATACTATAAAAATATTACGTATATGCTTTAACTGTATGTGGCAAAATCTCCATTTTTAGATAGTCTCGTGTTTCGCTGTATAGACATCTAACAGAATTATAATTTACAACACATAAGAGAGAAAGAAAAATATAATAGAATTCAACGATAATAATTTGTAACATAAGCTAAATTTACATCAGATTCTTTAACTGCCTCTCGATATAGTGAATCCATTTCTAGATTTCATAACGAAATACGTCCTGTGCATTGCAGCAGTCGCCTAAGAACTTTTATTCGTACGACCGGCGAACGGCAACAGAGAGAACAATTAATACAAATAAATACACATTCAAATATTATGTATTTGAATGAATGATCGAAACTTCTTTTTTTTTTTAATGAGTGAATTGAGTGCTGGGTAGAATTTGGGCTGAACGTAACAGTGCTGGGAACAAAATTAAGTCAGCATTCCTGGCAAGCGGCCTATCCTAAATATCTATTAGTGACAGTCAAATAGCGATATATTGTAATTCTCTATGCCAAATATTTCACGAAATAAATCTACAAGTATATGTAAAGTATGTAGTTGTGTTAGGAGAAGAGTAAACGAGGAACAAAACTTTTAACTTGAGGGAAATTTTTCTACCTGATAGTGTCAGATAGAGGTCATATATGGTTCCTCGTCTTACTGGCGGTAAACGCTTGCTGCGCTGGCTGTTCAAAGCCATGGCAACATCAGCTTCCAAGTATCGCCACTGCTACAACGTTCTGTCAGTTATGTCATATTTCCTACTTCCGTTGTAAAAAAAAAGTTTTCTTTTCTGTACTTCTTACTTTCTGTACAGGATGTTAATATTACATGGTTCAGGACTGACAGGTACATTTAGCGCTCAGAAACTGAATAAAGAACACTCAATCAAAAAAAAAAAAAACTTTTCTTACGTCATATGTATTTTTCATATGTATTTTTCTGTCTAGATATAACATATTTATTTCATCATTTTAGATACGATGAGATAATCATTTCCTCACTGGAATGTATACATTTTATAATCTTGAACACGTTTACTTGATAAATACGTTCTATACATTTCAAGTCGCTTCGTGAATAAAAAAATTCGTTACGTAACTTTAAGATTAACAGCATCATTTCTTATAATTTATCATTTACATAAGTAATTACAACTGATATTTTTATCTACATATAATTATATTTAAATCAAGTTGTATCGTTCCATTTATTTTAATTTATTAAGATAAAAAGAGAAAAAAAAATAATTAAATAATGATTTTATCTGCTTGGCCTTGGAATTGGCAATCTTTTTTCATGAAAAGTTCTCAAGAGCAATATACGGAAGAGATTAGTCTTAGTGATATAAGAAATCATACTGATATTAATCCTTGATAAAGGCAAGTCACACTTGCATTATTAAAATAGATAACTGGTTTTAACTTGGATAAGCTTGATTTCTCTGTACTGTATAAATTAAGTATTTTTTACTCAATTTAATAAGCCTGATTGTATCCTCTCGAGTTTTGAACCTTTGCCTTCAACAACCTGTATTTTACTGTTTCATGTTTTATTTTAGCGTTAAAATTTCATTTCAGTAAAGATTGATACGCTAATTACAAGTTAGGTTTGTCGCAATTCTCTAAATCCATGTTCGCTACTTTTTCTTTCTCTCTGAGAATCGTAATAAATTCTCATGTGACTTGGTTAATCTTTATCTTTCTTTAGCTTTATCATATTGGAAAACCCTGCCCTGGAAGGACGAGTGATTCTTTTCTTTTTTGTCCTCAAAAAGCGCCTAACGTTTCGTTCTTCATTGCAACAGATATTTTCTGTCGTTAGCAAATAATTTACCATTTACATACCTCGAAAGTTAAGAGCGCCTCCTGGTCGTCCTGCTTGTAATACTCGATGTTTAACGTAATCAGACCCTCTGTGTACCCTCTGACAGTGATCAGACTGCCCCGGGGTCCGGTATATAAAACGAGCAAACTGCCGTCGATGTTAGACTCTGTCAGTGGCTTGAGGCCGGCGAAATGTTCCGCCAGTACGTTCGCAATCGCCGATTTCAGACCCGAACGCTTCTCCATGTCGGCGATTACGCTACTGGACACCGTGAAGTCCAGGAGTACGGTATGGGCCACCATTGCTTCTGCAATGTACGAGCACAAATATGTAGGATGCAAAGTTAATTCGTAGAGAGAGAGAGAGAGAGAGAGAGAGAGAGAGAGAGAAAGGAAATTCGTCAATTTGCTTCCTACATCTGTAATAATATTTAATCACGGGCCGTATCACGCGGGCGATAAATCGCGTGCTTATCAGTGAGCCACAGTCAGGAAGGAAATTTTAACGTGCCAAGCAAAATATCTCGTCCCTTTCTTTCTCTTTAGCTTTTTCTACTTTCTACGTTACGATGCCCACTCGGGCGTGCACAGAGGCTAGTAAAGGCTAAGACGGCAGCGGACGGTCGCATGAAACGTCCTTAATGTCTCGTCAACGCGCTCAGGGAAAATACATTACATAATTAATCCCATAGAAAATAGGAGAGTTGCACGGGGAGGCCGCGGTGCGCTACGTGGCTTGACACCGCGTGTAGCCTGTGCCGATAATCGGCGCGAATGACTCATTTAGCCGCCGGTCAGTCGTTTTTGTTTATACTCACGTAATTGTGCGATAACGTTTATTGCTCGGCCTGTGTTCGGTGGTGTACGTCAGTGTGTTGCTCCCAGAGACGTGCAGGAATGACGCATGCACACACTGGCACGGGGAATTATGCGCAGGTTATCGGGTGCGCACGGGGATCTCGCGTGATAGGACTTGTCATCTGGTGTGGAGGACACTCCGACCCGACCCCGACGGCCGACACTCCAACGGAAGTCGTTCGAGACTGTCAGCGCAGATCGATACGCGTGTCCGCGCGACGTATCGATATATCTCGCTTTGAAGGCTGATCATATCTCTCTCTCTCTCTCTCTCTCTTGAGCGAGCGAGCGAGCGAGATGCAATATAAAAGTTCATTATAGTCATTACACGTCGTAATTACAATATCGAGCACTACTTTAACTGACAGACGCGATATTTTTCCATCGTTTTATCGCCGATAAAAACACGGTCGGACCGTTTTTGCCGCTTTCGAGCGATACATTGAAAATAAACACCTATCACCTTTTTATGACGACCGTAAAATGTATCGCAGATTGGAAAAGTCGCGCGAGCGGAAAAATAACGTCGAGTTATATAAGAAAAGGCGCAGAGCAGTGTATGCAAACAAAAGAGATTTAATCAACAGATTTATTGTAAAACTTATTCGAGCTTACCCCACCAAAAAAGTTGTCCATTTTTTTCTATATACCATAACATAATAATCTCTCCACGAAAACTCGAACATATATTTTATATATACATATGTGCGGTAAAGCATCTATTTATATTTAACAGAATATATAAATATAATATCCATATGTAAAACACATTGTTCAATTCTTATATTCTTCATCATGTTGTAGAGATTGATCGTAAAAAAAATCGTAATAACTGTGTAAATTAATTCTGCGGTTGCATTTAAGGGCGCTGCGTAATATTGGCGGTGTTACAACCGTTCCTCCGTGTTAAAATCCTGCAACAATATACGTACTTATTTGTTCTTTCTTTCCTCTCACCTCGATACCCGACACCCGACTGTCCTGTTACTGATCGATTGAATGTAATGGAAAATAGCACGCGAGATAATGTTAACGTATGAAACACCCAAACGCTATTCACAGAAAATCAAGCAAAAAAGTTTGTAAAAGACAATCATTCACAACTGCAGTACACAGTTTCTCTTTATTTTAATTTATAAAACATAAGTTACATTAATCGGAATCGCGATTCTGGGTTTTTGCTCTTCCAATATCATCCTTTTCCCACAACTAAGCCATTAATTTATGCGAATATATTTTATTCAATACTTTTACAATAATAACATGCTGTTTTATTAGTACACTTACATTTACGTATAAATGTCATGGAATGATGTGCGATTTAATACCATTTATTATCATTTTTGTACCTTCATTGCAGCTTTGATTCCGACTGTGGCGAGCATCCCGAGACCGAATATGAGTACATACGGTAAATACTTCAAAAAGGGCAGACCACGTCTTCTTTCGATCATAAGTCTGAGCAACTTCAAGTTCTGTTCGGAATATGGCGGAAAACGAGATCTGAAAAATAACATATTTTCTGTTTGGTAAACTGTAAAACTAAAATATTAACTGTATACAACATAAAGCGTTTTAGAATTTATTTAAAACTATCCGATTATATGAAAGATTTATTTACTTAGCCACCATCTCCGCAATTTTGTTGTAATTCCGAATCAAACAACCTTTCTTGTGTGTAAATGTCTCAAACGTGAATTTCCCATGGTAGGCTCCCATACCAGAATTTCCTACTCCTCCGAAGGGTAGAGTTTCAACTGAGAAAATAATATGCAATAATAATGCATGGAATAGTGTAACACAGAAAAAAATTGATATTAATTCTTGTTAAAATAACTGCACATTTGTTTTTGTTAGTTTTTTTTTTTTTTCATTAACTTGCTTTAAGCAATTTGGACTAATTGTAAAGATTTGGATTAAAATTTTATATTAATAAATCTAAGATTATGAATAAAGCAGTAATTAAATACGTTAATTTGTATATTTGCATAATTCCCCATTAAATTTACACAAATTTAATGAGGAATAAGTCAAAATAAGAGTATCTGGTTTTAAATAAATGCTGAAAGTGCAATAGTTTTAAATAACAAGTAATTAAAATTAGCTATTTACAAGCTCCCATTTCCACATTTAAAGGCAGTGTAGTAGCATTATATAGTAATTCATGCATAACTTTAATATTTGTACATGAATAAGTATTCGCTTCCATTAGCATTTGTTAAAGCATTTTAAAATTAATAAAGTATATACACAAGCTATATACACAAAATACAATACAATTAAGTAATAATTAAAAAAAACTTATATTGCAAAATATAAGTTTTATTAACGTTCGTTACACTGTGATTCAATCTAAAGAAATCACAACGTATATAATAGTCTATTAGCAAACACAACAAGTAACAGTTGACGTAGTGCTGTTTGAAAAAAAAGAAAGCTAAAACATACACATAAATAATTCAAAAATAAAAAATAAAACTTCTTACAACATTACTATAAGAAAAACTACCTGATGCATGTAATACCGTGTCATTGGCAAGAATGCTACCGCTAGATGTATTATTAACGATCAAAGATACAGTTCCTTTGTCCAGGCTAAATACATACAACGCTAATGGCTTCTCCCTGTATGTTAAATAATCAATGTAAGAACGTCATTATCATTTTTTTGCGAAATGTGTATTTGTACGCGAGTTGTGTGTGCGTGCGTGTGCGTGTGTGTGTGTATGTACACGCGCACATGTATAATGAAGTATGAGCTCGCGTGCGTGCACTCGCGCGTGGCGAGCAATACTGAACACTCTGAAACATTGTAATTGCAGATCGTCATGTTTTTACATTATTAATGTGAATCTAGCTCATTTCCGTAAATGTCAGTTTCATATTAGTACTTGTATGGATATTTATATAATTCTACATGATAGCCACCACTCCTTCCCCCATTTTCAGATAATATTTAAAAAATATATACAGTTTGATAGTGTAGAGTTTCTGTAATTAATAGTTCATATGTACAGACAGTATAAAAAAATCTATCTTGCGCCATAAAAGAAAATACATAGCAAATTCTTCCTTCAGCAAAGTCATCACCTAAACCAGAAGAAGAGTCGGGAGCATGCACAGTATATGCTTATTTTACAATTAGTCAAAGAAATCAAAGAAAAGAGTATATCCTTCATCCTAAAGAAAAATACATTCCTGCTACCTCATAAGCAGAATTGAGAAATCAATTTGTACACCTATCCACTCCACCAATCGCATCTGCAGCATCTATACTTTTTTTTCCGAGTCGACAAAATAGAGCTTTTCTGTCAATTTCGGCAGAAAAAATTGTAGCGTCGTTAACGTGATAGTAGCACGGTAAAAACGAAAGCAGAATATTGTAAAAAAAAAGAAAATTGTAGAAGAACTTGTCGGTCTCTGTAGCAAGGTTTGCGCCGAAATTCTTAAATAATAAATAAACAGACGCGATAAAAAGTAGTAGCTCCGTCACCTAAAACCCGGACTCACCGCTATATTGCAATACCGTGTCGTTGACACACACGGCTCCGCTGCTGACCTGGTCTATAATTAGATCTTGTACCCCCTTGCTCGTGGAAAATACGTATAGTACGAGTGGGCTTTCACTAGATGCGAAAAACTAATTACTTCATGCCGTTCCCTCGCGAAATAGTGAAATCGTGAAATAGTGGACGTGAAAAAACGAATAAATGAAAGAATATAAGGGGTTACCTAACAGCACTCTTTTCAGTTATATTTACACGCGAGGAAAATTTTCTCTACGAGATTATAAAAAGATTCGGATTATTCGGATTATGAAAGTTCAGATAATTAAAATGTTCCAGTTGTAGAACAAAATTTAGAAAAAAAATGCAATATTTTCAGAAGAGGGGAATAACTGCGCCAGTCGCATAATTTCTTGTTCGCAATATCGCAATCAAATGACGTACCGACTATTGATGAAGGTAATTGCTTCGTATGCATTGTTAACGTTTATTATAGGCAAGATCGGTCCAAATATCTCATCTTGCATGATGGGATCCGTTGGTTTGATATCAACAAGTATTGTAGGCGAAATAAACTTTTCCGCGGGGTTTACGTCACCACCAATGGCAATCTTGCTTTTATCATTTAAATAATTGACAAGCCGCCTAAGTAGAACAAAAGAAATAATTGTTATCTTAGAAATTATCATAACCGGCATTATTAGTAAGTCTTTAAACATATACGTGCATAATAAGATAGTAGTCACTTACTGATAATGTTTGTCTGTAATAATGCGCGCCAAATCGGAAGCCTCTCGTGGATTGTTGCCGTACCATTCCTGTAAAACCTTTTTAGCCTCCTCTATGAATTTACTTTGTACCTCGGGTGTACATAACATATAATCGGGTGCAATACAAGTCTGGCCAACGTTGATGCATTTACCCCATAAAATGCGCTTTGCCGCCATTGCCATATCCACTGTATTATCTATGTACACGGGACTGCAAATCGTTGTTGCAATTAATTACAATTATATTCGAAAGATATTTTCGGGGGAAATATAAAATGCATTTTGTACGTATCCAGATTTTTTAGAAGATATTATTTACCTCTTTCCACCCAACTCCAATGTAACAGGTGTGAGAAACTCATTGGCAGCTTTCCGCACGATTTTTCCAATCGTAGAAGATCCAGTATAAAAAATATAATCAAAACGTTGCTTGAGTAGCTCTGTCGTTTCCGAGACTCCCCCCATTATTACACGGCAACATTCCTGTTTACAAGAAACACGATCAATCAAGTTATTCCCTATTTAATAAGCCAAATGTTCCATATGCAATTTTATTTTGTCGATAATTGCTGTCGATACAGCTAGAATAAAAATAAGTGTTTTTTTTTTTCAAATACTGATATGTGAGAGAGGAGAGAGGGATAATAAATGGAGAGCGGAGGGGGAAAGGAAGAGAAATAATGTTGTCTCTCCAGTCTTCAACGCGCAGTTCTTACGAGTCATCATTATGCAACAAAGTGTGCTTTATATAGAATTCAATTCAAGCCATTCAATTTCATGGTCTACCTGTTTTAACTTAAGAAATAAGAAAATAACGATGTACGACAGAATATCTTATGTGGGATATACAGAATATTAAAAAATTCACGAATGAAAAAAAAAATTGCTACAGTGAGAAAATTCTCGAAAAATTAAATAATAACTTTGTAATTTTGTATTAACAGAAATTTGTAAAATATAAGGGAAATTATGAAATCAATGCTCAAGTCGTTGAATACAACACTTCACGTCTATGATATATAAAAGAAATTGATCACAAATTGGCATGCCTGATGAAACATAATTTTTTGTGTCTTAATCTTCTTTAGCTAGGACCTCTTCAACTGTAATATCGTGATTCGCGAATTTTGTGACAATAATACAAATGTTCACGCACCGTGTCCAGATATTTCGGTATGGTCTCGTATAAATATTTCGCCGTAGCCGCTGAGATCTCGGAGGGCTTCACAATCACGCAATTTCCAGCTGCGATAGCGCCCATCATAGGTAGTACATTCAGCTGAACGGGATAATTCCACGCGCCCATGATCAATACAACTCCGTAGGGATCTTTCCGGATTTCCACATTATCGAAAAAGTTCGCCAGTGATCTGGGCGGCTGTAAAATATTGCAAGTTCAAATGTTCACATTTTATTACAGCTGCTTGACGAACAAAAAGTAAATGAGCAGTCTGCTCTTATATAACATACAAAAAAATCGCATTAAAATCACCTTCTCTGTTGCTGACCATTCTTTAATATTCATGAGCATGTACTTAATCTCTTGGACTGTATAATCAACTTCCAGCACGGAGGTTTCGAACTTGCACTGAAACGTGAATGGAATAAAGTGAAGTTAAAAATAATACGATTAGGCTAATGTATATGCCAATAATAAAGCGATTATTCTTATAATATGTAATCATACCCTACGCAAATCTGCTGTCAGCGCTGCTGTTATTTCTGACGAAGTTTCCGACAACATGCGTATAAGCTGTTTTAATTGTTTGATTCTCCATTCTAACGGCCTTGTCTTTCCGCTGTTGAACGCATCCCGCGACTGCTGAACTAACTGTAATAATTTTTACGTAAACAAATCGTTAATTCACAAGTTGTTTCCCCATTTGCATCGCACGAAAAGATATTCTGATTTATTTTATCAATTTGATTTGTTTACAATGTGCATTTATGAAATAAAACAAACGTACATTTATATATGTATAATGTACAGTTATGAAATACAACGGTAGCAATATAAATAAAGAAAATAAAACTGTTATAAGCACAATGAATGATTTACTTACTTCAGCATAATTTATCGGGATTTGTTTAGCATTTGTTTGCACTGAAACAAAAAATATTATTTGAGACAAATATTCGACGCCCGATTTCAGTGTGCTTATATTGTGATACAGGATATTCAGCCATTAAAAATACCTTAATTTAAAATCCTTAATTTAAATGCTCCAAAAATTTATGTTAATTAAATCGATTCGCACGTCAATGAATTAACCTTTACGTTCGTTTTATTATGAAATAATAACAGAGATGAGCACATGTGCGCTTCATAACACAAGAAATGACAATAAATCATACTCAAAATTTCATTTATAAACTTTTAAGAATTTATTTATTTAAAAAAAAAGCGTAACAACTGACTTTTAATATAAATTGTTAGACGATCTCTTTCCCAAGGAGAAAAAAAACCAGGAGAATAGGCGGGAATGTCTATCAACTTTGAAATCTCTCTTACAACTTTTTATTCGAGAAAAAAGTTGAAAATCCAGATGTAATTTTAAATATTTTAATATTGATGAAAATGCATTAATGATATTTGTATTTAGAATATTAAAAGCTCTCGAAATAAATAAGACTAGAAATTGTAAGACTACCAAGGTATAAACAAATTTTATTTTCAAATAAGGTTGATAATAAAATACTCGAATAAGACTTTGATATACGACTCGAGATTTCTCGGGATTTAACATCAAATAAAAAATCGCAGAGAGAGAGAGAGAGAGAGAGAGAGAGATAAGACGAATGCAATCGGAATGCAATCGGAATAATCTCGAAATAATCTCGAAAAAATCTCGAAATAAGCTTTAGAAGCTGTTCTCCCCGCGTAAAATCGGGACTCGAGTGACGAAAATCAAAATTATGCAAGTCATTATTGCCTAAACATGATGTTAACGTGTCCAATCATTTTTGGCGTTATTATGTATAGCCGGAGCGCGAAAACACAGGGAGAACAAAGCTGCGTTCGGAGAGCACGCTATCGGCGCAATTGTATCACTTATTATTTTTATCCTTGATATTAGACATAAAATGCAACAATACGTTGATATGAATTCAGTGCTATTCAACGTGGCTTGAAAACACCGCGACATTTACAAGTCAAAGTTCTCGTTTCGAAAACAAAAAACATGTATGTTTTTGCTTTTACATGCCAACTTTTATTTTACGTTACGCGGATAATAGCACAAAGTACAAGTTTATCTGCGTAAACACGCAGATATAATCTTTGCCTGTCACGTCGCGAGACGGGGACGAGCGCTTGTGGCATAAATTAAAATGCCTGCGAAAGACTCACACATTTTTTATTATTCAAACAGATTCCTCTGCGCAGCCAAATTGATTGTGGTTTTTATCGTCGGTTGTTTTTATTATCTACAGTAAGTTTTGACGTCCAAGTGATCGCTTAAGGGGAAGGACACTTCTATTTTCGTGAAATAAAATTCATTTTCGATCGACAATGTCGTCGGAGCATCACATCTGGGCGTCTCGCGTCTTTAAAGCCCGCGACGACACGAACAAAGAAAGGTTGCGGAATTCGTTCGGCAATGAATTCTCGGCGAGACGCCGTCAAAAGCGCGGAACGCAGCGCGATTCTCAGCTGTTGACGCCACTGGGAGACGCGTCGTTGGAGGGTCCGCGGCGCGGTCCGGGTTCGCAGAAGCGGCGTCGTTGGCTGACCTTTCGAACGGAGAGAGTCGAAAGAGAGGAGCCCGGACGTCCGCTCGACGAGCGATATCGAAATAGGATAGGCGTCCGCGAGATCGGCGGTCTACTCCGCCGAGGATCGGCTCTTACCCATGGTCGCGGACATTGGTGGAGGATCAGCTCCGGTGGACAGGAGACGTCAACGGACTCGAGTCGTCAAAACTTGACAAGTAGGAAGCGAAATGCCCGCGGCTGAAGATCGTCTCTCGTGCGTCGATGTACGTGCGAGATCGGCGCGTTACATACTAAAGCGGACTAAGCCTCAAAATGCGACGTAAGCGTAAGAGATCAAAGTGTACACGTGTCTTTGGTTATCTCTCTCTACGCGATCTGCGAAAAGCGGGGCGCGGGAGGGGTGGGGGAGAAAGGCGGTCCGTCGCGGTGGCGTGGGAAGGAGCCGGAGAGCGCCGTGGCGGGGAAAAGCAATGCAACCGAGGGCCAAACTTCACCGACGCCCGATCGAGTTGATATATACTGTTGTTGATCGGGCGGATTAAATTTTGAGAGTCACCGACTGCTGAACTGAAGACTCTAACCTATAATTTCTTATCATCTCAAAGCTAATTTATTACTATATTCACACTACACGTTTTCTTTATCATTCGAATTAAGATAGATCTTGGAGTCTTCCTATTGGCAATGCCGGTGACAAGAGCTAATCGGCAGATTTACGTTGATTGGAATATTGATGAGACCGGCTCCGTCTGCAGCTGTCAAATGTTGATCGGAGGAAAGAGACTGAAAGCGAGACGGATATTGGATACCAATTGAGCACGCATTTATCATCGATGGATAAACGGCGCGCCGCTCGGTCGTGCGGCGATTTATTGCCTGAGGGCACCACTTGTCAAGATACAACGGCGCGGCGCGCGCTTGGTCATCTGGTCCAGAAAGCCCCGTGCCGGGTCCCGGCGAAAGTGAAGGGTGGATTGTAAGTATACGTACAATTGAATTACTTACGATTCGCGGGGTGGAACGACCCGGGAAACGGTCATTTTCGTCATTTCCCCGTGGAATACTCCACAGGCGTTATGCATTACTTTCTCCCGGAAGTCTCTTGCTCGCTTTTGCGATTTCGTGTGATAAGTTCTTTTTCTCCCTCGGCGTGCAACGCCGTTACGTTAAGGAGCGCGCGCCTTACCTTATCATTTCCGCGACGAAATTGTTAGCCGGCTAATTTAATCCGCTCTCTCCGTGTTTGACTTATCTTTCAGGGAAAGTATATATACGCTTTTAAGGGGTTTTTAACGAGATCGTTGTTGTCCGCTATTTGAAAGTATATATAGAATTAAAATATCGGATATATTTCCAGAGAAACAAGAAACACATTGAATATTTATAAATAACTCGATACTCGAATAATTGAGCGTTAGATTGAAAAGTCAGCGAAAGTGAAATGTCCTTGATAAGAATAAATTGTTTCTATATGTTATTTCTCAATTATATTTATAATGTAAATTTATAGTGTATATTTATAATGTAATGTAAATTATAATTTTAACAAAAATTTCTGAAAGATCTTAAAATACAGAAGTAACAAATATCTCGGCATTGTATGTGCAACAGAAATTATTCTTTCTTTTCAAATAAGTGAAAAAAGTGTGACCAAATAAATTACAAAAGGAAATATTAATCTTATAAATAAATTACAGATAAGCATCGGGGCACGTTTGAAGCTTCCGTAAGCACGCGCGCGCGCGCGCTTTAAACGTGTCCCGATTTGCAAATCCAGGGCATCGTCGATACCCTCGTGCTCGTGGAAAAGCAATCGCTCGCTCGAAAGGGCGCGAAAAAAGGAACGTACCATTGTGATGCGAATTCTGCATTGGTTGCACGTGTATCTTTACGCATTCGGCTTTAAGCGTGTCCGCAGAATCGCCCGACATTTCAGACAAAAAAAATGTATAATCCTCCAATTAAATACTTCCTCGATCCGCACTTATAGCTTCGAGCGATACAGGCGAGTCACGATCGTGAGAAAAATAGCCGAGCCTCGCGTAGAATAAATTAATTTGCGAGATAATATACGTGCACGCGCGCACCGATCCGTCGTCGTCGTCGTCGTCGCGTCCTTCCACTTCCGTGCTTGTCAAAATCCGCGAGGTTGCTCTCTCGAGGTTGTCGGGTTCGAGACTGGATCTTTGATCGTCTAAGAGCTCGCGCGACTATTGCGAAAGGCCGATTCGAGGGCGACGGTGGGGAGACTAGTTGTGTTATAGGCACAGAATTTGAAATTAATAGCGGTATCGCCTAAAGTAGTCGAAGCAGACCTTCGTAAATCGTCTGTGGTAATATCTTTTGAAACGTTCGAAGCCTCCGCGATCGCGGAGGATCGAGCTTCTGCGGCAGATGTTTGTACAGAGTTCGAATCGCGCGCAAATTAATTCGACCTTAGAACCTGGCGCGAACGTGTCGAACACGTAAGATGCATCATGCTTACTCATCTTATCGGAGGCTAACATAATGATGTGCGAGACCTCTTGTTAGCTCTGAATAGTAATAAAATAGTAAATAGCAGGATTTTTCCGTAATTATTGCTACCGCCACGTGCCGCGGAATTCTCTCTCTGTCATTATTGCTGCTCCTCAACGATCTCTCGTCGTTTTGCCTTGGCTATTTTTAGACTGTCCTTACATAGTAAAGGACACGATTAAAGAAAATTCTTTTAGAGCGCGCGTTGCCTGCAGCAAGAAAAGAAAGAAAAAAAACTTGATCGAGAGCGAGAGAGCTCAATTATCAGAGGCAGCATTAGAAACGCTCGGGAGTTGCGTCAATCTCACGCACATCAAGTTTGAAAAGGTCAAATATTATGATATCCCGCTTCTGAATCAATATACCCTTCCGTATTTTCTCATCGAAAGTGGTGTGCGAGTTACGTCTGCGACTTTGACGTTCCGCGCGTGCTATAGACACTCGGGTTCGCAGCGTCCGTATTAATGCGTATATAATTTTCAGTACTAGGAAAACGAAAGCTTTTAATAGAAAGAGATTTGCTGAACATCTACGCAATGACACACTTTCTAATTTTTCCGAAAACTGGATACCGCGTCTCCCATCGGATATACGACGTCACACATTGCAGCTTTATTTCAGCTTTCAATCATAATTTCCAGCAGGGAGACGCTCTTATAAAAACAAATGATTTTTACGCGTTATTTTTCCTTATTTTATTTTCCGTTTAACGATCTTTTTTTTAGCCTAATTAAAATTCAAGGGGATTTACTTACACGATTCGGAAACGGTTAAAACAGCCGCTTGCATGTCGATGCGGCAGGTATCCGACTCTTCCGCGACGTCCGCCGGGATATCCAGTATTGTTTCAGACTGAGAAAAAAATATATAAATATTAAAATCTTATATAAAATGTGAAAAAAATGGATAAATATAGAGAAAATTATTTCTAGATATAACAGTTATGATAATAATATCGGCTGATACGCTTGCAACTCGTTAAATCGTCTAGTGAGCATTAATTAGATCTCGATTTAAAAAATTTACTATGAATTCATACATGCGGCGCATGTATGAATATATTTATTCAAATCCGCTTTAAGTAAATCTATAAATGCAAAACGCTTTTATATATACATATAAGTCTGAATGATTAAAATAACTATATATATAGATCCCAAGTAATCGCAGATGACGATTCAATATGTATTTTTTAAATGTCAATACGAGTCAATCGTGTAACGATGATGTGTGTTTCCTCTCGAGGAAAACACATTTTTTAAATAGAAATAATTTACATTTTTATAGCTGCCATAATAGCGTTAATACTTTTTTTCCTGTGAGTTAATCCGCGACCTATGCACGGCTGTGTGCCCGCCGTTCGATAGGCTAACGATATGGAAAGCGGAAAATCGGGATTTCGATCCTTATTGCGCATCATTTCACTTCCTCGTCGAGAGTGCCAGTTATACGTTACGCGTTACGGCTTCGCCGCATTGGCCTCGATATATACACGTGGACACGATGTGTAACAGTTACCAGCACGCGCCGCGGAACGGAGCTTTCGATTTCAGACGGGGAATCTGTCCATTCTAGGTGCCACGACGACGCTTCCAGTATCTGTATCTGGTACTTCGTTATATAGCATCGTGCGTGTGATTGCAAAACATATATTTGACGTCACACGTCCAGAAATAATCTCCCGTCGGGGCAATGTTATACGTTATCGTTTTTACACAAAGTAAAGTTCATGTCTCATGAAAAACAGATATAACAGATTACATATTACGATCGATTACATATTACACATATCGTAATAATTATGCTTGTTTTATACATTTACGCAGATCAACCATGTTCATTATATATATAATAATATCGAAGGTTATTCATAATATATAAGTTTTTCATATAAAAACATTATCATTCGGATGCGATCACCTAAAAAAAGATCAGCAATTCTTTTTGACATTTCTTCTATGAAAAAATTCTTACACAAAATCTTACACGAGCATATTCCTTTATAAACGCATAGCCATCCATAAAAAAGTATTATGATCAAGAATTATACGATATTCCTCTACATTTTGGAATATCTTCTTGAGACCGATTATCAAAAGAAAATCCTTTAGAAATCCAGAGGGTACTGCTAAATAGAAAATTTTATTCAGTGATGATTTCATTATTCCTGACATTCTCGTTCGTGAAATAATTTCAGGATCGTAATGCTGGAGAATGGAATAAAAATGGAAGATGATTCAAAGCGTGCGAGTCAAGGCACGATATTTATCTTTTTTTTTTTTTTTGGAAGATTTAGAGGAAATGCATCGATCATCGCGATACGCGAAATCATCCTATCTCGTCGATCGTATCACTCACGATTTTATCTCGTTTTCTACAATTTGTGATATTCTCCTCTTAGTATTTCGTACAGTGTTTTAGATTTCCTGGCCTTGTAGTGACATAGCTGACTTTGCCATTTGTGATTTAAATTTCTATTAAAACTCTACGAACCTTGTTAAACTCGAATCGATTACCTTATAATGCTCGATAGAATCATTGTTACCCAGACAATCACAAAGTAAAATATTGCATAAGAGATCTTTTTTTTTAGTCTTTTTAAACAATTTTTAGATAGTTCTCGTAGAAAAACGTCTAAAAAACTTCTAGAAAAGACGTCTTAAATAGGCGTCTTATGCGTAAATTTTAGACTTTATGTTGTCGGGATAATGTTCTTTTATACTATTGTTATTATTATTTACAATTACATCACCGCAGTTGGAAACCATGCGCGATTTGAAAGATGACGTCAATGCCTATGGCGAAACGTTTCAGCGTTTTTTCGAAATATTTTCTTACAAAAACAGCCGTTTTTCATTCGAATTTTATGTCACATAAATCAATTCTATCTTCTCGGAAGCACAACGCATTACATTCTACATTCGGTATATTAATTAATCACGGCGCCGATGTCACAATATAAGTACGATGGCCCGATAATATGACACCGGAAACTGAAATCGCGGCAATCGTCAATCGTGGCGTTACTTATACACGAGTTCTAAGTCCGACGATAAAATGTCGATGATGCCGCGTCGACGACGAGAATGAATAAGCATCAAGTTTCGGGGCTCTGACAGGTTTGCAGCTCTCTGAGAAAGCACTTAAATACACGGTGTCCACCAGACGTTGAAACCGGTCGAAAATATTTGTCATATACATTTCCGGACCAGCGGAGTTTTGGCGCGCGCACACACTCACCGTGGCAGCTGCAACTTCCTTGACATTTCGCTCGTCGAACCTCATCGATGTCGATCGCGTGCACGACGGATTAACGCACGACGGATGTATACGGATCACGTAATAAACGCGAGGGAACGCGAACGTTACGTGTATTGCGACTGATCGTGCGGCGTACTCACCATGTTTGACGATCCTGAATGAGGCGTGCTCGATTCGAGTTCAGACATTTATTACCGCACGGACACCAGATTGTCATCCAATGCAAGAATAAGCCGCTTCTGCCGCGTAAGAACGTCTGCAACACGTTGCCGCGGTGCTATTTTTTTTTCTTATGTTTACAAACGGAGATCCGAAGAACTGAACGACGTCATAAATTTTTCCGGTTTCTCGCAGCACATTCTTTTAGAGAAATGTTAATCGACGGTCGCGCGTCGACCGTCGCGTTCAGCTACCGCGTTTCGGGCGCTTCGTTATAATTAATCGCACGCGGTTGCGTTTTTCTTTTTAGAGACTTTAGACGTAAATCGAGATATGTATATCTATATTAATCGGAGCACGCGGGATTCGTACGCACGGGCGTAGAGTACAATGGCACGCGATACGATTACTAAATGTCGCTTTTTTTCCAAAGCCTCGACTTGGGATCTATTGTGCGGCGCATCATGAATAATTAATGCCGACCCCGAACGATCTCGCGCCGTATACGCGTAGCCGAGCTGCTCGCTTTCGCGGCGAGTAATTTTATTTATGTGAGTTTTGTGAGCCAATTCGAACAACGAACCTTATATGACTATCGGAGAAACGAGAGCCATTAACTCGCCGATCCATCTCTTAAGGAGAAAGAGAAGTTGCTCGTCGAATAATCGAATATATGCATATACAATGCTGGGCATCTCTGACGCGTGTATATATTTTACTTCGCTCTTTTAATTTTTTAGAGAAATCAGAAAGACGATCCGAAAGGTACTCATCAGCCATGAATTTTGACCTGAAAATTATCCTCTAGGCTAGAATTAATGTTGATTGTTAATAACTGCAAAGGTTACAAAATTTGATAAATGTAGAGACCTAAGGACTCCTTGTTTTGAACATGAAAAAAGGAGAATGAAAATAATTGTTCTCCAATTCTTTGTGTACAGTCATGGACACATCGGTTGCGACACTTTTTTTATAGGTTTCTAATATATACTTAATTTACGTAATATATATTTTATAGATAACTAATATTTTGCAAATGCAAATCACGATGTACTATCTTTAGGCTAGAGGCAGTATAACACCAATCGTGGTTTGTGGCATTTGCAAAATGTTAATGCGTTTTGAAACCTATAAAAAAGAAAGTGTCGCAACCGAGGTGTCCATGACTGTACATGTATAATTTACTGCTGTGCTTTCTGATTTTTTTAAGATTTTTAATATAACACTTCTTTTTTTAAGATTATTAATATAACACTCTTCTTCGGAAAAATTCTTTTTTTTTATAAAAAAAAAGAACTTAATTGGGAGTTAAACAATAAAAAACGGGCCGATAAGTATAGATATTTATAGCGAAGAGAATGTTTTTCGCGATCAAAGCGGATTTTTGTTCCCAATTAATATATTATATATAATAATTATTAATTGAATAATTTACAAAATAATTGGCAGGATACTTAAATAAGATTCCATCGATTTTCGAGATAATTTTCGCGATAATTTTTGCTATAATTTTTAGTTTCTAAAAACTATCGAATGTTGCTCGTAAGTATATTACGTGATCGCAAACACGGAATGTGACGTGACATTCGTTCGTGTTTACCATCGTGTCGGGAGCGTCAGCTGGTGCAACACGTGCGCGAGACGTTTCGCTTGGTTTCGCTATGTCATAACGCGTGATGAGGAGGAAAAATCGGACAACTTCTACGTGTTTTATTCGTTAATATTGGCGTATCGCTTAAAGTAGGACCATCCCTCTCGGTGAAGAGGAGTCATGTAGTCTCGCCCCGCTGGAGTTCAACAGAAAACGAATCTTGAAGCTCCGCTAACTGTTGAACGAAGGCAGAGTCACGTGAAACGATCGGATACGCCGAAGGAACTATTTGCGGCAATGTTCTTCCGTACGTATAAAACATAATTATCAGGCGAAGCTGATTTACACGAGATTGTTGACTTCTTTTTACCAGATATCGAACCTAACCTATAAGCGCGGAAATGGAAGAGGAGATTCCTGCCACGTCCTCGTCGAGCGACGTAGTTTCCAGCCAGAGATCGTTACCGTCCACTCACGATCCCGGCTGGAACGATCCACCGGAGTGGGCACTGTCCTCGCAGCATAATTCGTCGGGCACATCCACCAGGAGGCTCCTGAACAAGCGAGTGGCATTCCCGTTGTCCTCGCAAACCTCCTCCCCGGAGAAGGTTGCCGCTCCGCCTCCTTCAACGAATTTACCTCCCGTTTTACAGTCCGCCGCAGTTCCGACAATAACCACAGCACCCCACAAGCCTCTTCTGGCACCTATCGATAAAGACCATGCAAAAACAGAGTCGGACGACAATTTTGACAAAGATCAAGCATTGACAGAAATTTTAGCCAGTTTCGAGTCTGTGATGACGGAGCAGAAAATGGAAGAGGGCAAGGTGAAGGAAATACGAAAACGATTGGATACCATGAAATCTAACTGGCTCGAAAACAAACTGAGCGATACTGTACAGAGAAATATCTTGGATATATCGAAAGGTAATGGATACATTCCTTGGATTCATATGTTAATGTTTATGTGTTAACATTACCCATGTGATCAATATATATTAACTGTACATATTTATATATTTTTTATAGCGCTGCTAAGAAAAGATATCAAGGAAGCCGACAAAATCCACATTACTCTTATGATGCAGCATGCAAATGTTTGTCGCACTTGGATGCCAGCCGTCAGGCATATAATTTTCGAATTGAAAAAGGAAAGTGAGAGACCCGACGTCCCGCAACCGGAGCAGTCACCTCTGCTATTTGTCGACTCGACGAAAAATGACTGAATTGTTATCGCTAGAAGTAAGCTAAACATAATCATGTCCATATTCGGTCACGGACGTAGGTGTTCTCTTCCGCATATCCGTAAATATATATTAGGCACCTAGTTTTAAAGTCTGTTCTGAACGACCTGTTTAGAAGGTTTCCTTGGCAAACCTGCACTCTTGGCGGTTTGCCATCGCCTTCCGAGCTGCACATAATAAATATTAAAAATAAAATAATTCCAAAATACCGACTTGTTCGCTACTTTGTGACTACGTGGCGACGCGCGATATTTTTACAGCGAATGCAGAATATCGAACAGTACTCTCATTGTCAGATACAATATATTATTTATATTATGATCGCGATTGCAGCTTTTATTACAGGACAATTAATTGCACTAGAATAAAAAATGAAAGCAGTTGTATTCATAAAAGTTTTTTGTATTTTTCATTTCTCTCTTATGTATATTCACAAAGGACAATTACATCTGTCTTACCACATATCTCTGTCTAAATGTATTCTTACGCTGATAATAGTCATCGATAGCTAAAATCATTTATTTTATTACTTATATGTACTCATATACTCACTACCGTACTCTAAACATACTTCAATCTTAAGATGGACACACATCCATGCATCCTGAACGAAATTTTTATTATTAACTTGAAACGCTCTCTCCCATTTATTTTTCTTTTCGTCCGTGAAATGAGTCTTTTTTTATTTTATACCATTGCTTTCGCTGTCTTCTATACCTTCATCGTTTCAGAGAACTTGTACCGCGATTGACGCGCGCAAAAGTGCTTTACAAGTTTATGGCTCTTAGAAAACTTACAGTTATAACTTATGACCGCCTCTTTAATCGTCAATATATTAAATTTTCTTCCATTCTTCGCGTAAATAAATATTCATAAATACATTTTGGGGGAGCGACGTGCGTGAAAGCTCTCTCGACTCTTTCATACTTTCTCTCTCTCTCTCTCTTTCACTCTCTCATTCTCTCTCTATCTTTCTCTCTCACTCTCGCGCTCGGGAAGAACGTGTCTCGCCAGTCTCGCGAGAAGCTGCGAATCCGCCGAGAGATAATCACGCGTCCCCGCCCGAATTTCGATTTAAAATTTTCTTTCATGGCTTTATCCAAAAATATATATACACATATACGGTCGGTGTATACGTAACGCTCTCTACGTCCTTACAGCGTACATCTCCGCGGATTCGGGCCGCGGATTCTCACCGACAAACCGGTTTAACAGATCCCTGGCGTGTGGACCATCGCACGCGCGTCTCTTTCTTCTCAAACGTTCTCGCTTTCTTTCCGCTTCGAGCGATATTCATAAATAGCACGAAGAAGGAAAATTCAGTTTGTCATCGCGCGGGTTAATGTCAACCGGTGTCAGTGCGAACGCGACCTTGAATCTGACGGATGATGGCTATTTCGCATCGCCCACTCATCGATCTGTGATTCGCGATTGCATGAGAAAAAACGATAAACGGCGTTTCGATCCGCCGTTATTATCCCGATCATCGCGACGAGATGAGGCGCGTAAGCCGATCTCGCGGGACGTATACATCGACTTGTCTGCTTCGTTTCGCTCTGTTTATTTGTTTGTTTTTTTTTCTTTTTTGCTTTATTGTTACACATCCATACGCATGCTACGAACTATTTAAAAAATTTGCTCTCGCACTTCATTCCTCTCGTTCGTTCTTCTCACTCGCTATATACGTTCGTTCTCTCTCTTTTTTTTCTGGATTTTTTCGTTGGTTTTTTCGTACAAAACAAAATGGCATCTTTTTGGCATTGGAAGAAAAAATACACTCTTCAACGTTTATCTCTTTCTTAAAATTCGCCTCTCCCTCTCCCTCCTCCTTCTCGCTAATTTAATCCCTTCCATTGATCATCGGATTTCGGATTTCTTTGTTCCTTATACAGGGATCTACGCAACGACTTGTGAAGAATCGCGCGAGAGTCTCTCTCTTGTCCACCGAATTTATCAAGTAAATTTCATCAAGAACATTCCATTTGGAAGAGAATGTTTAGCTTCATTTTGACAGATTTGCGCCTGCTAACGAGAGCATGATATCACCGTCGTTGACCACTGTCGTTGCGTGTCACAGCCTGTACTTCGGACAGTTCGTTACTTCGCTCTCTTCGTGATAACATCGATTTATTGTTTATTACAAACGCCTCTCACACCTAATCATTTAATACTATTTTGGCATCGTCGAACTGTATAATTTTCCGATAAGTTTTCGCGCGTTATAAAAAGTTTCTTCTTTTTTCTTTTATCTTTCAGCAAGAATAAACGATCTTCGGATGTACTTATAGACAGTTGGAAGTTTCGTACAATGGTGTCTCGGGGGTGCATTACGTGGCTACAGTGCGTACATTTTTTTTTCGGAAGTCGATGTGGAATTTTGATTTCTCTTCGCGGTTGCGCACGCCGGAGCGCACCGGGCGTCGAGAGAAACTCGTGTTCCTAATCTCTCCCCCTCCCCCCTCTCGGGGACGCGTGGATCAATCGGGGATCCATGAATCAAATCGCAACGTGGCTCATGATTCGATCTTTGTCGCACGCGCGCGCGAGAGAAAGAGAGATCGAAGGAACATCCCTGCGCGAAGAACGAAACAGTGGGATAAGATCCCTTAAAATCCCGCGACACCCGCTGGCTCCGTGGAGTCGTTCTAACGCTCTGACGTTAATTGAAACACGATACGAAGGCGTCGCGTATATTTTATTGTATTGTCACATGTGGCGGAATACGAGGAGGAGGACAATAGCATCTCGCTGCGTTACGTTAGGAGAGAAAAAAAAAGGGGAAATGAAAGAAGAGTATAAGCCATGCCGGGGGGGAGCCCGATGCTATTCTACATTGTACTCTCACTACCGTCCTTGCTGCCCTTATCTAGAAATATATATGGATCGGTGTATCGGCGCGCGGTGTATGCGTGCGTGTAAGCGAAAGAAACGAGTGTCACGCCCGAAATTATCCCGTCCCCTTTTTTTTTTTGCCGTGTCTGTATTCGCGTGAAGAGAAGAAGCGGGTGGCGAACTCAGGGAGAACAGAGATACGCGTTCTTTTTTCTTTCTCACTTGTCTTTCCTCTCGGGAGGGGATTAGCACGTTGAATTCGACGATACGAGAGATACGTATCGCGACTTTCCCGTACGCGTCTGTGGGCAGCGGGCCCGATATTTTCTTCGACGAATGTGTTAACCCGACCGCATAAAAATTCCCCGTTTTTGTTTGTTCGTCGAGTGGACTTTACCATGAAATTGCGCGAAGCATTGCGCGAGAGACGATAGAACGATAAAATAAATGGAAAAAAAAAGAACACTCGATTGACTACCTTTTTTTTTGCATCCCCGCCGATTGAAATTTGTGAGGCCGTTCCGAGCAAATACGAGCAAAATCGACGTGGCGTATTGGAATTCTTTCGCGTTAATAGGAAACATCGATCGGACCGGTGCACGGGAAGTCAGACAATCTCAACCGAAGAGTCGAGCCGCCAGCTTGCCGAAAATAGAAAAAAAAAACGGTACAACACCGTGTTGTCAAACTTAATTAATAAATATATAATATACATTAAATTAGATTACATTACTAGTTATTACTGTTGCCGATATTATTATTATTATTATCACTATTACTATTACATGCGATAACTAATGAATGATAATATATTAATGATTCCTATAATACTCTCCAGTAGGCGAGGGTTGGTCGCGTCTTTCTTTCTGTTTTTCATTCCACTTTTTGCGGGCGCAAAAAGAAAAGGACTCGACTTAATGAACGCGTGCCAAAATCAAAAGGCCGCCCTCACACAAATCACTCCTCGTTGTCAGCTAAAATATATAAATTTTGCGCCTTAAAAATCGTGCTACGCTTACTTTAAGGGATCGCTGAGACAGAGACGTCTGTAGCGAAAATAAATAAATAAGTGGACCTCCTCGGCTACTAATCCTGCTGGGAGTTCTGCTCGAGCGCACCGACCTCTCCCCGGTCGGTCCTCCGCGACAGGGTACCTCACACTTACGTACAACCGTGTTATCGCTGAACGCAGACGTTTGGATCACGCGGGGGCGAGAGCTGCTCCCCGGGAGATTTTACCGTCCTACTCATTTTACCCGCGACACATTTCCCCAGGAATTAATCCCTCGCGCTCGACTAGCCCAATGCCATGTGAGGAAAGCAACCTTTAGACCCTGCCTTCAAGTGATGGCATTCCAAGCTTTCAATAAAGAGGATATGTCCTCATGCTCACTCATTCTCCTCGGGAGAGATCCAAGCCGCGACAGTGTCGTGACAGTATGGAAAGTGTGGAGACAAGAACACGGAAGGCGTGAAATCCTGGTCACAAGATATTATTGGGATCAATTAACGGGGATATGGAATGTACACTGACAAGCTAACGAGAGCGTAATGGAACTAGGGAGAACAGAGAGAGAGAGAGAGAGAGAGAGAGAGAGAGAGAGAGAGAGAGAGAGAGTGCACCTCGGCTTCTTCTGCGAACCTGAAAACTTCTATTAGAAGCGAAAGCCTGGATATGCCACATCAAGAGATACCAATCTATCGTATACTAAAATCTTTCGAGAGCGGCTCTCCACGACAATGGGCGTCCGATCCATCGAAAAGCCAATCGACACACTGCCAGAGGCCATGTCGGTTAGCCTTGAACTTGAAATGATCATCAGCAGGACCCTGTTGCCGGGCCTTGTGCCGCTCGCAACAGGCTTAGACTAAAAGACAATTAATATTTACAAATAAAGTCGAGGACAATAGAGAAGATAATGAATCTTTTCATTTCTACTGATTCAATAATGATGCGTTGAATTTCGGAAAACCGATCGAATTCCTTTTTGCCGTACCGAATCGATTGATTTCTCGATCACCTTTCTTTCGTCTTGATGAGACGTGACACAAACGTTACCATTCGTATTGAGAAATTAACTTTTTAATTTTTTAAAAAGCGTAAAATTAATTCGCACAAACACCATTCTAGTAAATTTATTATTAAATTTTATTGAATAATGCTTAACTTTGTTGCAAAGCTAGCATAAAGTTTCCATTAACTAAATGCCGATTCGAGTAAAAAGAGATGGAGCAAGCAGATAAGGGAAGAACGTCAAGACGGTGAAGACAACACCTGGCGTATCCAGCATATACCGCCGACCATTAGATACACCCCTACCTACGCGTCACGTGATTGTTAGATAAATGCTTTGTACTCAGCCGACCCGAAGGGCGCATGGTTAGTATTATATCGCATGCCACTTGAATTAATCGTACTTAGTACTTAGCTATGAGTACAAACACGTAAATAAATACGAGAATAAGAAGCGAAATGTACAAAGGCTAAAAATCAGAGATATACATTACATATCATTTAATTAATTTAAAGATTTGAGATCATTGTATCGTGTGTCGTCGTCTGGATTTTTTTAGGATTGTGCTCTTGGACTTTCGCAAAAAATCGTTCAATTAATGAATATAAAAAGGCGGTCTCTCGAAACTATCGGTCCTTTCTCTCGACTCCAACAGATCCGAAAAAAATTTAGAATCTAAAGCCTCTATTAGAATCTGAAAGTGACTGAATTTAATTGAAACATTATGAGATGCCAATTGATAAAATATATAAAGATATATTAATTTAATTAAAACATTATTATATATATAATAAATATATTATAATAATGTATTATATATTATATATAATATATATAATAATACATATTTTTTATTACAAATTATATTTGTAATCTTGTTGAAAGCTTCCATTCTTATTTATTTTTATTAATTTAGATAATCCACATTTATTTCTTTATATGTCATATAAACTGAACAGAATTGCTCAATTTTTGTCTTTTGCCTTTTTACGAAGTCGGAAAGATACGATAATTCTGAGATCTCGTCGTGCAAGTTTCCTTGAGTGTCTTGAAGTGCATATACGTTCAATGTGTGCTTTTATGTGTACGTATGATATCGCGTGATTCATCTAGACTTCGACTAGCTAGTAAGATTACAATTCTACCAACACGAAATCGTTATACGTAGCGATATTACTTAAAGTGTACAGGGTCAGAATACGAAAGTCTTCGTATCAAAGTCTTCGCAAGGCGCAGCTTTCATCGGAGCTTTCCTGATACGTCAATAGCCTCGATCATTTACCATTGTCTCGATTTTGCAGCCTCTGGCTCGATTACGAGAGTCTCTTTCGAGTTCAACTCAGTAAAAAGTCAGTATAAAACGCGAGCCCCGACAAAGGGTGATGTAGTCACACCCGGCGCGAGGCTTTCTTTCAAGCACGTTTTTTGTCGCTATATGTTTAAATCTTGCGTAAAACTCGAAATAGAAAAATGGCAGTGCAAAGTGTGTGTATCTCGTTTTCGGAATAACTAACTATAACGATAATAACAATATAAAGCCTCTCATGGTAAAGTCGCCGCCTCGTCATTTCATTCTCGATCGGATTCCTCGCGATTCTTCTTCAGGATCTTGTCTCTCGAATCCTTCAGCCGATTCCATTTTTGGCGATGGCATTTTTCGGTACAAGCTTCGGTCATCGACGGTCGAAGCTGTACCGTCCGACCTCGACTCATCCAATCGCACCACCTTCTTGGTATGGTCCAGTTATCATACATGGATGCATTGGGAAGAGCGTCGTCCAAGTCATTGTGGTGTAAGTAGGTGATCTCATCATGAACTGTGAACTGGGAACATTTGGAATGTGCGAAAGTGGCGGAAGTGGTGTCGTTTTCTCGTTCGTCGTACTCCCGGGGCTTGTCGTGGTAGTTGGAGTCGATGGATTGGTCGTCGACACGGATGTACTGCTAGTCGACGTTGTGATACCCAATTTTCGCAGTCGCATCTTTTCCTCCCACTCGTCCCATCCGTGCTTGGGTCGGTTTAAATTGCGATGTTGATAGAATACCAAGCTAATCCTAGTCGGATTGAGCCGATTGGGTTTTTTCAGTGCGGTGGTGGCATGCATCTCGTGCTTCGCGCACTCGAAGAGTACGCTACCGTGGCTCAGGGCGATCGCGACACCGCCCATTTGCGAATCCTTGAAGCATTCCTCGTTCTCGGAATAATCCGTTATCTCGCCGAGTGGCTCCGCCTTCGGAGGAGGCTCCGGTAGAACCGGGAAATAAGGTGGCGGTCCGTAAATATCCCATCGCGGTGTGTCCCACCTCGTCCAGCCGGAATTCAAACCTTGATACGCCGGGTTCAAACCTTGATACGGATATTGAGACGAGTGGAAGCAACCTTCGCGCTTTGGTTGCTGGTAGAATTGTTCCGGAGGCTGATATGATTGATGATGGTTATAGTTGTAACCCTCCCATGAATTCGTGTAAGGTTTCTCGAACACCGGATAGGTCGGATATCCGTATTGAGGAAACGCATGGTGACTTAAACCGGGCACAGTGTGGAAATCTTGTTTCATCTCTTCGGTCCACGCGAGAGAATTTGGATTGGAATTAGATACTTCTTGCTTGTTATCATAAAATCCTTCTTGCAATTTATCTTCCGTGCAACTGTCCTTCAAGTGATTGGATATACATCCGTTTTGGGCCGCGTTGCTATTCGGAGCGTCCAGGAAAATGGGCTTGGAATCTGGAGGTTTCAAAAATGTTCTGGCCAAAGGATTTGGATATGCATGGGGCTCCGCGGATAAATTCTGACTTGATATCGTTCGCGACGGTGGTCTTCCTTTTGGCACTCGAAATGGCGATGGTTCAGATGAAGTTTCCCAGGCAGCGGTTTTAGTTTGATCCGGCTTCGTTAGTTTACCGATCCAGATCTTCTTGTCGCCCGTCTGCTGATCAAATTGTTGTGAATTTTTAACTTGATTAGCACACCACGAATTCGCCATATTCCATTTCTGCAGGCAAGATTGTTCAGAAGACGGGGACGGAGGATGATTGCTCACAAAGGGTTTCGATTCAGATTGTCTTTGCGCATGATAAATGAATTTTCGCTGGTCATTCGACAAGCATTGCGCATCATTTCGCATCTGTTCTGGCACGTGCAACGAATTATGTCCCAAAACATTCGAGTTTGAAGTCTCTGTAGAAAATAAATTTGACGTGTTACCGTCACAATATTGATTATGATAGCCAGAATTTACGGGTGACTGCATTTGTTTCGATGGAGAGAGATGTTGCATTCTATTTGCAAACGTTTGTTCAACTTGTGGCCTGAGCAGTGACGATTTCGTACAGTCTTCGACATCTGTGTAATTTTGTGTCATGGCATCCGAGTATTTTTGTGGATTAAAATCTCCCGTATATTTAGGAGACGGCAACCTCAATTGATTAGTGACACAATCTTGCCCCATGTTGCGCACGTGAATTGGCGACTGATTCATCTTGGATGGAATGTTTCGATGCGCGATCTCTGTGCCGAGCGATGGATTGAGGGAGCCAATTTTTGAGGGAGAACAGTCGTTGTTTTGCCCGTTGACAGAAGCGGCGTAAATTCCAGAAGCCATTTGATGATCGTAATTATTTTCCATGTTTGAATGTTCCAATCCTTTCAACGGAATCATTTTCGGATCGTGTGGCGTCGCGACGCAGCCTCTGGGTGATGTGTTGTAGGAGACTTCTCCGGATATGCTCCCGATGTGCGAACGATGAGGCGAAACGGGATGAGTTCTAGGTGAGCTTCCGTAACATCCTCTGGCTGAGTCCACTGTAGAGTTAGGTAGATTCCTCGAGCCTGGTCTGTGCTCTTCTTGAGAAACGGCACTCCTGGGCCTAGTATCATCCAAACTAGTACTGTCTGGATCCACTTTGATGTCCCTCTCTAAACCACCAAACGAAGGATATTCTCCCCATGGATTCAGCCAATTATTTTTACGCTGTTCGAGCCAGCCGTTTCGATTCCACTGTTGCTCACCTTGATATGCTCCCCATCCTTGATACATGGATACCGGACTGTCTAAGACCGTGGATGATACCTGAGAACTCTGCAGCTGCGCGTCTATTCCTTCGAACATGGGCGTCATCTCCAGTGTTAACTGCGATTGTAGCTTAGAAGAATCTGCGTGTCCCGGCGAACGCCCGGAATCAGCCATTCTTTCCATAATCTTGACTGAATCCTTCTTGCCGGCCTGAATATCCGGTTCTTCTTCTTTCCTTTTTTTACCGTGACGTCTACATGGTTGAAGAGGTACCGATCTAACACGAACTTCGCATGGATATCTAAACAAAAAATATATTTTACGTATAAATATATGTACCGTCTCATCTTCGTGTCTACAGTAATTATAGTAATCAAGTCGTAATAATCAACAGTTGCATGATGCAATTTTTTACATACATATTATTTTCGAATATTTAGAATATACTAACTTGGATAAAAATTCAAGAGCACCGGAGCGAACCTTCTTCTCCTGACCTTCCTTTGAACCGAATTCGTCTGTGTCATCCATTATGTAAAGAGGTAGCACGTGTAACTGTTCGTCTTCGGGTTTCGATAATGATCGATGTTTTGTAAGAGAAACTACCTGAAAAACGTAACGAATGTTAAAAATATTATTATACACATAAAATAAGTTTTATTTTTTTCCAGACATTGCAGAGAATAAACAACAATGGTCACAATATTAGATCTCCAGTCAATCGATCGATGTATCGAACTAAGCTTTGAATTTTCACGTACCACGGTACATCCATTATTCATGTTGTGTAGATCCCGATGGGCGTGTGCGCAGAAATCAATGCAAGCCGTAACACCGGAAAAGGGTCGACCCGGTTTAAATCCTAAGCGACACTCGCTCGCTTCCCGCTCGAATTGAGTTTGATTATTGAAAGCCTCCGGTGCAAGACTAAGATACAAAGGTGACAAAAGCGTCGCCAGAACGTGCATTCTCTCTTCGACTTCTTGTTCCTGCAAAGCAAAAAAAAATTCTTTCATTATAATCTATAATAAATAACTAGTTTTCTTAATCGTTTGGATTGCCTCCAAGATATTTACCTCCGATCGTACAGACAGTCGAAACTTTCGGACGGTTTTACTTCTGGCATATTTGCAGCCGTTATAGTACATTGACCAGGAGCAGCCAAAGGAAAAGCTGGCGCCGCACGTGTCAGGATCGAGTCCTTGGCACGCACAAGTTCGCGGTTCGTTGGTACCGCATCGCCTGGTGGTTGGAAGACCGAATCGATTGAGTTTGTGACTTAAGAGAGTGTAGATACGATCCGCTTCGTGAGTCGGCACCCCTTCCCAGGCAACCATAGCTACAACGATCCAGGCGGTTGGACACTTGTGACCTTGGCGATGTTTTACCACGGTTAAGATCTTCTCGTCAATGCTGGATCGTCGGATGATCTAGCAAATTATTCACCTTACAATTTCATGTATGGAGAAAAAAAAACAGACAACCGTTGCTGATATAATATATCTTTTCTAACATAATCTTTAACAGTTACTAATTGCACGACTATTTTGGGAAAATGACTTACCCACTTGGCCATTGGACATCCTTGCGTGGTTTTACCCTCTTTGCCAGTATAGACGACCTTTTCAAATCTTATCGCATCGCCCTTAAGGCCGGTTCTTCGTTCGAGATCATTCCGAAGGTCAGGCAGACTTGCAGCCGCCCCGAGGTGAGTGTAGTACGAACCGGGCTCTGGTGGACCTTGTGATTAAATGATATTTTATTTACAAACGGCTAATATGTAAATGAAAGGAAACAACAAAAGCGGAAACAATTATGCCGCGCACGTAATACATATGCCCTTTTGAATAGAAATTACATTACGCATATTTCTCTCCGGATTTCAGAATGTATAACCGGTCGGCGTTATTGGCAATGAAATCTACATTATTACGTTTACAATTCTCTTTCGTGTGTCTTTTTTGTGGTTGTGCTTTCTCAATGTTAATGTAATACAAAATACGTAATTGTAACTCACATTTATCGGCGGGAAAGCAGTTGCAGTCCGGCACTTCGGTCCTGATATTGTTCTTCAGTTTGTCCAAGTGGTCTTGCAACTTTGTCGTCGTAGTCGGAGTATTCGGACTATTCGGTCCTTCGTTCTTTAACTCGGCTTTCTCCGAAGAATCCTCCAGTATTTCATCCTTGGTTTGAAGACCCTGACAACAGCCGTCTCTCAGATGTTCGGGAGTCGGCTGTTCGGTCCCACCTCTTCGACAGCACCACGAACCGGTTCCCGGCGACACCTTTGCCGGTCCGCCATCGCCGCGAAATTTATAATCTCGAGGAATCTCTCGATTTTCTTCGTTCTCGACGATGTTGGACGCTTCATGGGATACATAATTTTGTTCTTCGATGTTCTCCTGTTTAATCACACGATTGATATCGCATTTATCTTGAGGAGATGTATGATCAGTAGCGTTTGTCGTCTTCAAAAAATTATTTTTCATTCCATCACTTTCAGATATCTTTTGAGATCCTTCGAAAGACGTGCCCTCAATTTGATTCATACACAATCTTTGCTGGAAAGACTTGTCGTCGATCTCTTGATCTTTATTGCTTGTTTCTTCTGCCTCCAACGAATATTGATCCTTGTCTTTCTCGCATGACTGACTCTTTTCTGTGGCGATCTTCATAAAATTTTCGAAAGCAGTCATTCCATTTTCCGGCAATGCGGAATTATCGTCGTCTTTATTCGTGTCGTTATTGTGATTGTGTTCTCCTTCCGTCCATTCCCATAAGCCACCACCGTCGGGCAAATTATCTACCCGAGGGTGGTGGCTATGCGATAAAAAATTACCGGTCAAATTTTCATTAGGTTGCGTCATCGAAATAATATTTGATTGGTTCATAAAATGATCCGTGCGTTTCTCTTGCATCTTCTCGCTGCTTTCATGTGCATCCCGTATTTGATCGTCCGTTGAATACTCTGAAGTGGATCCATTATTGGTATTAACATGCTGCGATTGCATTTGATGATGGTGAGCTTGCTGCTGCTGCTGCTGCTGCTGCTGCTGTTGTTGTTGCTGTATCTGCTGCTGCTGCTGTTGTTGTTGTTGTTGCTGTTGCTTGTTCAAAATCATCGATTTCAGTCTGCTATTGAGATTAACTCGATTTGATTGAGCATAGATGTGACTTTCCGGGTTATCCTGATTCTCCGGAAATCCGTTCGGTTTGCTAGTATCCACTGTTGTTTGTTGTTGCCACGCAATTCTCTCTCCAGAGTTTTGCATGTCCTGCTTTGTCGCCTGTTGTCCCCAAGTCGGTTGAGTTTCCGATACAGAATGTACAGGCGACCAAGACATTCGACTGTCCAACTTATTTTCCTGTGGCAGTTGATTTTGCCACTGATGACTTGGAGTTCGTCTAGGACTGGGCTGCGAGTCCTGCCACTGTTGCTGCGGCTGTTGACTATTATCACTTTTTATGCTATTTGGTGACCAATTCGGTTGACTAGTCGGCGTGTCGGGCCACGATATTTGATTGGACGGTGTGAGTCTGGGATTCTGCTCCACCTTGGTTTGTTGCGTCCACTGTTGTTGTTGCGGTTGCTGCTGCTGTTGTTGCATCTGCTGTCCGGAAGGCGTCAGTCTCGGATTCTGCTGAGATCCTTGTATCTCCGGGCTATTTTGCTGCCAGCTACGCTGGCCAGAAGGCGTCATCCTCGCGTTTTGTTGAGCATTGCTGTGTTGATGGTCTGACAGTTTCGGAGAGTGCTGCAGCCAGGATGTCTGATGCTGAGACGGTTGTTGATTGGATGGCGTCAACCGTGAGTTTTGCGGATCTCGTAACTTCGGACTCTGTTGCGACCAGTTTCCCTGAGTTTGTTGCTGGTTGTCGGCGTTTTCGGACCACGACTGTGGCGTTTGGGGTTCCTTCACGCTTCCGGTCTCCCAGCTCATGTGACTCGCTGGTCTTGGCAGTTCCTGTGGTTGCATTTGAGAAGCTTGTTGCTGTTCCACCTTCATGTTGCCTTGCATATTTTGTTGTTGTTGCTGCTGCGATGGAGGTTTCTGTGGCTGCTGCATCGTTCCCTCCTGCCAATTCATGTTGCTGCTGACAGTATTGCTCATCTTTCCGCTTGTATCTGACCATACATGTTGTTGATTATTGTCGACCACCGATTGTTGCATTTGCGTTTGTTGATGGTGTTGCTGTTGTTGTTGCGGAACCATTTGCCATTGGTTCTGCGCTGATTGCTGACCCATTTCCACGTAGCCTGGATACCCGTTAGAGCTGTGTAAACTCTGTGGGTCCGGTTGAAGTGGATACCCAGGCATCTCGTTTCCCGACACGTTGGAGGCGGCAATCGTTGCGAAACCCTTTACTTGCGTATCCGCAGCGTTTTGTTGCTGCTGCTGCTGCTGCTGCTGCGATGACTGTTGCGGACCTCCTTGTTGCTGTTGCTGCTGACTGTCCATGTGCACCGAGCTGCTGCGACTCGTCGGAGTTGTCGACGGAGGCGGCGCCATTGTTACATCCTGCAAGAAGCCCCGTTTTGCGGTGTGTAGCGTTCGTTGCAAACGATTCTTTAGAACAGCTATCAAAATAGGGGCAAACACGAGAAAATCGTGAGAATTGAATCCGCGCGTGTAACGAAGCATAAGTTGGACTCTAATTTATGTAATTATAGAGACACTTACTTGTTGTTGATAACCATTCACATAGTCCTGTCGCTCGTAGGCGACTGACTGATTAGCGGTAGCCGAGGGATCTACAAATTGTCCATTCAACTGCCTCTGAGGCGTCGAAACCACCGTTTGTCCTCCGACTGGGGTCAGCGGTGAAGGTTGCCCCGTAATAGTGTACTGTCCCGTCGTTCCGGCTCGTTGAAACGCAGACTGATCTGCCGGTATGAACGTTTGTTGTTGATACGGAACTGTAACATTGAAATTAATATGTTGATATAGACACGCAATCTTACATAATATGACACAAAGTAGTCACATCGCTAGTGAAAAACACTTAATATGTACGCGGTAGTTTAAGAAAGCGAAAACTACTTCGGAAAACTTTATACGTATGCATTTAAATTTTTTCCCAAAGTACCACAATTGTAAAATATTTTTAATATTTAAATTAAGATATTTACAATATTAATATAGTAAGATATTTTCAATACTTTACAAGGCGCGTTCCATCTCTCCTAATCTTATTATCTTATCTATTATTTATTATTCTATTAGAATATATTCATAATTATAAGATATTTATAATATCTTACAATCACATGTTACAATTATTATTTTACAATTATAAATATACTCTAAGATAATAGATAAAATAATAAGATAAATAACAAGAATAAGAGAAGCAGAACGCGATCACCTTACAAAGCAATGTCATGTCGGAAGATCATTCTCAGGACAACGAGTCTCAAAAAAAGTCGAAGAAGCCTAGTTGAAGTAAAGTCTCATCGGTCGAGTTAACATAACTCTCATAGAGTTTAGATCGCGTGTAAGAACATAATGTTCATTCTAATAATCATGAATTAATTTAATTTAGCTCCGACAGTGGTCACGATATAATCTAGTGTGGTCGGCTCCGATATTCTGCGATACGTTTTCGCGATGTTACTTAGTGAACTTCTGGTTTTGAACGATTTTTCACGATCGCTATTACAAAACAGTTAATTGATAAAGTATTCATTCGTTCAAACGTGCGAGTGTTCTCTTCTAAAACTCCCATATTTTTCACCTTCAACACACCCGCAGGATCATTCTTACACATATACACATACATTTTTGACATACAGACGTTAACCGAGGTAAGATTTCCAAGGATTTTACACAATATAACGATTTTCGGAAGAATGCCGGAGAACTATGTAGTAATATCACTGCTGTTTCGCGAGCATTGATCTGCTTCGCGTTGCTTGAAATTCCCTAATATTTTTGCTCACTTAAAACGAGGTAGAAATATATTCGGAGAGAGGGGGGAGGGGAGAGGGAGAAAGCAAAAATTCCGAGCACAAAAAGTGCAAGTAACAAGTGTAAGATCTGAGATCTGTTCGTGTTGCTTTCAGTTAAACTGAATTCCTCCTTTCCACGTTGAAGAAAAAAAGAGAGAAGATGAACGGTGCAAGAAGTCAGCTAAAGAGAACAGATCTAGTATTTCGTTTGTAACACTCACCTGCTTGAGGATGATAGGGTGTCGCGCCTCCATATTGAGCGTGATACCTCAACTCCTCGAGCTGATTTGGCGCGGGAATCTGCTGAATGAATTGCTGAGGTGGCCACGGTGCCGGTGACGTTTCGACCGCTACAGTGCCAACCGGTCCGACTCCCTGATGCCAAACCGTATTTCCAAATCCAGCTGCGGGACGGAAACCGGCGCCGGAATCACCGTAAAATGGCATCACTCCAGGTGACTGTGCATAGAAAATAAGAAAAAATTGACGTCGTGTTCTTCATAAAATTTTCTTTGTCATATTAACATGTCGAGGATTAAGGACCAAAGTTTGAACGGAGTCTGCATATTAGAGGTGGCATTTTATCTTGTGCTTTGTTTCGAACATCTATAGGCATAATTCCCGCGTGTACCTGTATATATTTTTTTTCATAGAACTATTTTATCGTGTAATAAATAATAACGATAACGACAATCATCCGGGACAAAATGACGCGTCGTGCGCGTAAAAATGGAGCTGTGCGAGTTCACTTTCGTTTATTTTCGTCCGTCCGGCCGTTCTCTCTCGGAGGCTTCGCCTCCCTGTCCCGCGTTCTCGTGTCAACGAGATAGAACGAGAGAGTAGACTCGGCGAGCGGGGATGGAACGACGGAGACGGCGTCGAAGGGAAAAAAAGGACGTATCGAGGCACGGCGAGGCAGAGAGGAACCGTCCGCAGCGATGCGAGTCGAAGGAGAGGAGAGTTGAGAGCCGGCAACCTCGCAGCCGGACTGTAAAACTTTGTACAAAACGAGAAGGGAGAGTCAGGACGATTGGTTCGTTCGTTCGTTCGTTCGTTTACCGCAGCCGATCTTTTGTCATCCGCTCTCCCGCAGCGCTTGCCCCGTAAAATACGCGCGCGCGTTTGCGATCTTACGACGAGCGACGCGTCCCATCTTTTGACACGAAGTGAATATTCGTGAACTTTAAACTGCAAGCAGATTCGGGTCTTTTTGAGCCTTCAGGCAGCTGAGAGGAGCCGCCGTATCGTCGTTCGCTAAATTGGCGTTTAGCTATCGAGTTTCCGTATGAACAACCCCCGTCGAGCGATTACACACGCGGAGCCAAAATGTAAAAGCGCTGATAAAGCAGAACGCGCTCGCAAATAGATAAAGAGCTTAGATCCTCGCGTTTACATGTATGTACATGCATTAAGGATTCAGCGCGGTTTATGTCAGTAAGAAGTAAGTACACCGATGCAAACATTAACTGCATCTGACATTTAACGCGTTATCACGTACGAGCTATTCAAACAAATGTCTCGTGCCGAACGTTCGATCGCCCCGAGAGTCGTCCGTCTCGTCGTCTTGGGGAGTCGCGCGTCCCACTCTGTCTTTCTCTCTCTGAGAACCCTTATAGTGGCCGTGAATCGGTGTTTGTGGTCGAGGCTGATAGCGTTGAAAGAGCTGGGCGTTTCGCCAAGCGTGGCATGGGATTCCTCGGTATCATCCTCCTTCTCTTTCATCTTACGCACACGTGCGCGCGCGGGAGCGGGCGCGCGCTGTCTCTCCCCCGGGGAGAAAATCCTTCCGTTCTCGTGGCATCGTGACCTAGGGCAACCTAAGACCTCGGGCGTGATAAAACGGAACGTTCTGTGACAGCACCCAAACATGACCCTCGGGAGAGCCAAGTTGCCCTTCCGGCGGACATTCGCGCGGGAGAGAGTTTGTCGACCCCTACACTGCGGCCACGGCTTCACCCGCACTCGCGCGTTTTCCCCGATCTTAACCGCCGCGACCGGCGGCCGATGCGTTCGCAATTCGCGTTCAACAGCCACCCGCGCCGTAATCGATGTGCAACGCGACGCGTGTCGGGATCTCGAGGAGGGAATTTTCAACGCGGGAGAGAGGAGAAGACCGCGAGGGGAGAATGGGATGCACGCGCCGGACAGGTGCCGTTTCGTCCCTCTCGCTTTCTGCGAGCGATCGCGTGCGGCTAAACCGCATGTACGTGGCGAACGGGAGCGCAATTCGCAATTTGCGCACCGCCAACGATCGGACGGCGGCATTTCGCGGTTTCGGTTTATTGCATAATTGGACGCCCCGACGAATACGGCCCCGGCCCGGTACCCGTTGATTCCTTTATCGCCGCGGCATTAGCAATTATCGGTGTCGCGCGCGACACCGAACGTGTTTGCCATGGTCGAATATAGCCGCGTTTAAACGCGCGAAATGCACAATTAACGCCGGGGCGTTAGACATCAATGGAGAACGCCCCGCGTTTAAATGCAACGCGGGAAAGGGAGCAACCGCACGAATGAGATTATATTTCGTGCATGTGACGTATTTCGCGAGTGTATAAGTTTATCACGCTCTCTCGTCTGGAAGCGATATCGATATTGCAACAACGATGAGGCTATAACGATAAATGAATTGGACATCTGTGCGCACGCATATTTACGTACCTATATGTTGGACGCTATGCGAAACATATCGTTATGCAAATTAAGATGATCGCGGCTGCAATGCGTGCGGCAACGTCCCGATTAATTGACAATTTCGATTCGCAGGCAAACTCAATGGCATTTCGTGATTACATGATGTGTCTCTCGGTACTGAGATTCAGTTGCAACTTTCAGCTTAATTTTTTAATTAAAAATTTAATTGAAACCTATCTTTTCTCCCGTCATTCGCGGTGAATCATCAGAAACGCGTAACTAAGACGTTTTGTCTCAGGAGTGCTTGGTACGCGATAAATTTAACGATTGCTGTGTGCAACAAAAGGAAAGTCACGATGAAGAGAGCCGCATGAAAAAAACGCGCTTCAATTACAAGGTTACGGAATTTTTATTGCCGATCCAACGCACGGTGTGCATGCAATATCTCTCTTAAGCTTGCGCGCCAGACTGCGCGCGATGCGTGGTGATTCGCGCCCTTTGATTTTGTAAACAAAAAAATTAAAAAAAATAAATAAAACTGCTCCGCCGGCGAATTGGCCGGGAATGGTAAACGACGAATGCAAATTCGACGAGTATGTCCATTTGCGCTATTCGCATATCTCACATACGAATAGCAAATTGCGAATTTCGTACCGTCTCGAATCATGGATCGCGCATATAAGCGCAAGCTTTATCGATCGATTCGTTTATTTCACTAAAGAATATACACACGTGGGGAGCTTCACGCGTATATCGTATGGGGCGGACGGCGGCGGTGCGCGGATGATTCATTTATCATTTGAGTCGCCGCGATTCGTTCGTTGCGTTCGTCCGTGAGGAAAAAAGACGATAAGGACGATTAAAATATTAACACAGTCGGCAGTCGAAGAAGACGGAGCGTGTATAAAAGGAATAAATCTCCATATAAAAAATCGCGGGGGGTAGTCTACCCGCGGCGGCGTACCCCTGCGACGCGAGCGGCCACCCTTGCCGGCTTCTATCGTATCGTTACTCCTGCTCCACCTCTTGATACCGCTCGCTTTTCATCGCTTCTCTCTTTCTCTCCTTTCGTCCCCGGGATACGTCGTTCTCCTCTTCCCCTCTCTCCGTCTCTCTCTCTCTCTCTCTCCGTCTCTCTCGGTAGGTCGGTGGTTCCTGTTCCTGCGGGTATTGATTCGCGTTGGCGGCCGGTCACCGCCCCCGCACTCACTGTCTGCCGGTAGTCTACCCTTGCCCTCCATGTTACGCCGCTATTTCGGCAGTCGATTCCTTTGCAGTCATGGACTGTTGTGAGCAATGTCGCTCCGCGAATGTTAACATTTGTTTTACATCCTAATCGGACCGATTTGATCTTTATAAGTATAAGGCGATCTTTAAGGTCTTTTCACAAAACAGATTTCTATTTTTGTGATTTCTTAACTCAGTATCTAATAATCTTATTTTCTACCAAACCTCATTTCTACCAATGTAGATTAACTTTAATATTGGTTTAACTTACTTTTTATTTCTTTTTTCAGTTCTAATAATTAGAAAAAGTTAAACAGTGAATTAAACCGAGATAAAAATTTTCTATCAATGTAGATTAAAATTAATTAGGCGCGTGTCTTGTATCGAGTTTTTATAGCAATAATATAATTTATTGTAATAAAAGAGAAAATGCGATGAAAAGATCGATTATCCCTCGCGTAATTTGAACAATATTAATAAAGAGATTTAAGACTTACCATAGAGACGACAGGTGGTGGCGGGTTGCCGTTTCTAAGGGCGCCCGTTTGTTGGTTCGCGGGATTGAGATTGTCCTTGGTCTGCTGCATGGGATCGGGCTGGTGCAACGGTTGTTGCGTTTGTTGCTGGTGTTGTTGTTGTAAACCGCCAATACCGCCCTGCGGACTACCGAGACCAGCTGGTGCGCTATCAGGTGTGCTGACCTGCCGTGCGATCTTTCGGTAATTCTGCAACAAACATTCGTCCCATTCGTTTTATTGTGTTTCGCGTATGTGTATAATTTCACAGAAAACTCGACAATCTCGAAAAATAATTTTCGTAAATTTAATGTAGATTCTGGAATAAATTTAAATGGCACGTATTCGAGTAATACGAAATCTTATCCAAATATAAATCTATTTTAAAGTTTAGAAATTCGTTAATTCTATGTGGAAAGAACTTCTCTTAATCTAAATGTAAATTGATCGAATTTATAATTGAATTTATGACTGAAACCGATAATCATAGAAACGACACGAAGGCGCGAAGGGTCGAGAAAGTTAGATTCAAATCGTAGGAAGAAAGGATGATACTAAAGCCAGCTATACGGCAGTGGTGACCCTAATGCTAAAAATAACGACATGGCTTAAGTAGGCCGAGGCGGCTTGAAACGGTTTCCATAGTTCAACAAGCATCGTCAACCAAGCTGATCACCGTTTCCCCCTACGAATGTCTTTGTCCCTTCACGAATGTGACTAGCCGATTTTTCAAGGCTATTTGCACTGTCAAAGAGTCGCCTTAGAATCGCCTTTGCATTTCGATATACATGTGATTATGTATCAAATATATATTATATTATGCATCGATTTATAAATAGACGGGACGTTGCCGAGTGGGACCTACGCTGAGCTCGCAAGGAGAGCTCTTTCCCTTGCGGAACATTTGTCACCTACTCGAGTCGCTTGGATCAGCATTTCGAAAATCTTATTCGTATGCACCGCGTCATATAAAAAAGAAAGTATCAATCGTACCATTTTTTCCATCTTTAGCGAAAAACGTCAGAAACAATCAATGGCAATCCTAAAGACGTAATGTAATCACGGTTATGAATTCCTTTCATTAAAAAGTTCCCACGTTATTGTAAATCCAACGAGATCCATTTTTTTTTCATAAAAATAAAGGAAGAAAAAGGAAAGAAGGAAATGGAAAAAGTCTTTAAAGAGGCTGCCGCTTTTATTCCACGTGCAGGTATGTTGGGTCGCGATACCGATTGATAAATCCTCATTGAATACGTCCAGAAGGGAATGATGGATCCTTTGAGACGTCAATCATCGATCAGCAAAGTGTAAGACAAGACGAGTGACCTTTTTCAGAGAGACGGTTCGGATTAGCTAGCGCTCTCTCATCGTCTACTTATTTTAGATCTTGTTGCGATTCACCTTCTCGTACCAGATGTGGGCAAACAGCCAATTATCCAGGATCATTCGTGCGTGGAGTTTTCAAGATTCGGATAAGGAAACGAGAAAACAGAGTTCCGCTATAGAGTTCCCTTGTTAGATTTTTGAGATCAATGTTATTATATTATATATACTACGTTATATATACGAATATTATGATTTGTCGAGAAATACGAAATATATATTGATCATCGCGTCAACGTTTGCACATATTCGGAGACATCGATTGCGCTATTTTCATTACCAGTGATAATCGGGTTGAGATTAACGCAAATGTTGACGGATTTGGATTGCCAATTACTATGGAGTTCCGTAGCGTCCAGTGCGAGAGCTCTGGAAATAATCGGGCATAGAGCTCTGTCAAACCACGTGGCCGGCGCGTGGGCATTGACCGACCGCCACCAACCGATTTCAACGTCAGCGTCGGCCATTCCACTCGGTGGTGATTCACATTTTGTTGACTTAAGCCAAATGAAAGTATAAGTACATACGATACTCGCGCGTTTCATCGCTCGAACATCGCTTCTCCTTTATAACATGTTGTGCGACGCGACACCAAGTTACTTTGCAGGACACCGGAGCGCATCAACAAAATATTAATATATATCGCAAAATGACGCGAAAAGTTGATGTCAGCTAAGAAAAGAATAAAGGAAAAGGTCCCTTTTTGCCGAGAACAGATTCGAAAAGTTTCCAAGTATAATCCCGAATAATCCTTCATTTATTAAGCCCTAGTGAATTTTCCGTAAATAGTGCGCCTCGGGCGAGAGTCGGCGGGACATTTTATTCTTTCCCGAGCGTCTCATACGAGCAGAGCTTCGCTCAATCGATCGCATTACTCGCAGGTCAACGCGTATATTTTTCTTCGTTATAGATCACCTTGATCGTCGTCTGATTTGCGCGGCGCGCGGGCGCGAGCGCGCGCACCGATGGAACGGCAAAAAGTTAATAAAACGAGCGGAATTCACGACGTTTCGTCGAATCGCCGATAGTGGTGGAGGACACGTCGTTTGACCTAAATTCCGCGATCACGATAGACGAATGCCGGCTTGCGTAACCGGCTGCAGACATCAGAGCACACGGTTCGCGAAATCGAGTTTCGCGCTCGGCGTTTTGGTCCTTGACGCGCAAAGGGTTTCGTAGATACCAATCGAGCGTTATATAATCCGATCGTACTATTAGAATTATAATATACCGCTGCAGCGTTACGACAATTTATGCAGGAATTGAATTGTGCATTAAATTAACTTTGACAACAAAGTCGACAGAATAATGTCTAAGTCTGTGGCATTGAATGGAGCTGAAAATTTAAAGCTAGAGCGTTACGTAGGTTGAATCATTAAGCGACGAAGTTTTGTTTCAAATCCGGCTGCAATTTTTTTTTTAGATTTATATAACGGAGTTACACGTGGCATCGAATACAAAAAATATGAGCTATCGATTGAGATCATGTTCACGTTATACAAGTGAATGTTATACAAGAGCTCAAAGCTTTTTTATGAATCATCCAGCTTCTTTTTCTTCGTACACATCGTGGAAGAGTCGTATTGCGACATCGTGATCCACGCTATCGCGTTCGAGAAAAGAGAGAGAGAGAGAAAAAGAATCCGAACCGCTCCGAAAATATAAATACGACTAAATATAAAGCAGACCGATGACGAAATAGCGACCAAATTCATCGTATTCTCCATTCTGTCTTCATCGATTTCTCGTTTTATTAATAAATGTAAAAAAAAACGAAGTAAAAATAAGATTAGAGTTTTGCCGGCCGGTCGGAGAGAAGCGGGAACGCTGCTGGCGGAGGGTGCGATTGTCCAAACACGTGCCATATAATTACGCACCTTCGACGCTAAGAGATGAATTAAAAAACTTACATCTCATCGGACAGTCGATGAAGGCGAGAGAGAGAGAGAGAGAGATAAACTCACACTTCTCGCGACAACGCTCTTCGCGGTCCAATGCTTCGTGTGTGAACACACGGCTTGATCTCCTCCTTTAAAATCTTGTCTGGAAGCACTTGAAACTCGAATGGGATCACTCGCACTCGACTACGTACGAGCCAAGTTACGTATGTATGTACATATGTCGTTTCCTACGTTTATTCTCCGCGCGCGCACCCGTGATTCCTTTCCCGATTTACCGGCAGTGTGACACCCACACACCCGAGCTCCGGAGGAAACCTCGTGCGCGAGAAACTACTTCCCACCGGCGGTGCAGCGGAGGGATTCGCGCCGAATACAACAAACCGCGCTCAAACTCGTTCAACTACCGATCGGAATCGATCGCCCTCAGCACTCACGAGAGATCACTCTGGTCGCGGAGCGATCCGCCGAATAACTCCCATGAGACGCCTCTCCCTTTTACTCCGTCGCCCTCTCCGCGCCCCTCGGCCCCCTTGCTCGCATCCCTTCTCCCCGCCCTCTCTTTCTTGCCTCTTCCTCTTCCTCTCGCGCCTCTTCGCGCTCGCCGACTGCGTTCCCACCTTTCTACGCTCCCTCTTCGTCTGCCTCTCTCTCTCTTTCTCTCCCGCTCGCGAGAGCACGAGCGCGCAATCGCGCGTGTGGGTGTGCGCGGTCGTGCCTCGTTGTTTCTCTCCCACGACTCGCCTCCCCTTATCTCCCCACTGGGGCCACCGCGTCGCGCGTTATCGCAGCGCGATATCGCGAATTCCTGCGTCTCCTCGCGACGCGCCGATTTCTGCCATGGCGGTACGACCGGAAGTTTGACCAAGAAAGATTCGACTACGGGGTATCCCTATCCCTATGAGGTCTTCCGAGAATCACACTCGCCGATATATAACATCTTTTATCAGCAAGACATAATTTTCTTATGCCCCCTGACATGGACTGTCTCACGGATTTTCACGCCAAATTGACACGCCGAAGGAGGATTGGATAGCATAAATGAGATAGGGGATGGTCAGGTCTGACTGTGTCTCGGAATTGTTTTCGAGGGCTTAAGAGTGATTCCAAGTCCGGACCCCCGACCGATTGCATTGACCGCTTCTTCCACACCTCGACATCTCCAAACGTGTAAACAAGCTTCGGCGTTCTACCTCACCGTCATGAAGCAACGACACGGCGCCGTTTCTTCCATGTAGAACAGCTCGCGGCGCTCGGAAACGCTCGTGCACGCTCGTGTCGATTTTACATGACCTCCCGCTCTTCTTCGTGTCCTTCCATTCCCTCTCTTTCTGTACTTTTGTTTTTCTACGGCTCTTAGTCTGGCGTTTCCAACTGTCTGCCTGTTTCTAGCTAACTAGCGTATTCAACTGTATCCGATGTTTCTTCGACATTTACAAAACGAAAAAGGAATTATCGTCGATAGCTTAGAATAACTTTTAGTTATATTTAGTTATATTTAGCTTTAGATTTAGTTACCTTGAATATCAGATTCAGATTTATCTTGAATAAGCCATATATATATATAATTTATTGACTTGAAATCTTATCGCACCGCCTAATCTTTCCGAGAGTCGGAATGCATCACTCTCACAAGAGTGGAAGATCAAACGATACATTTTAACTACTCAAATTATAATATACTTTGACAAAATATTATATAATATAATTTGTGTATATTATATTTTATATTGCAGAAACTTTGTAGCATCATTTACGAGCATAGGTAGATTAAATTCCATAATAGTTACGCGACTCATAATGATAAAAGGGAAGGAATATCGGAGTATTATACGAGAAAAACATGCTTCAAGTATCGGCGGGACGACGTGCTCCAACAGTGAGGTCGCGGAGAAGAAAGGAAAAACAAAACTTGCGTCGCGAAATTGCTATGGCTCTCCATAGGCAGACGGATGGGAGCAATAGGGCCGGTGTTGGTGTTGGTGTCGCCGCCGCCGCCGCCGCCGCACCACCACCACCGCCGCCGCCACCGCTGTCGCTGCCGCCGCCGCCACCGCGCTGCCATTGACGACGACGACGGCGACGGCGACGACGACGACGACGACGACGACGTCGACGGCGAGAGAGAGGGGGATGGTTCACCAACACGTCATTGTAACTGGAGGTGGCTGTGACGCGACGGAGGGGGTAAAACTCCGGTTGGTGGTGGGGCAAGAGAATACCTGCCGCCGTCAAGAGAAATGTTTATGTATCGGAAGGAACGGAAAGCGCTCGCGCGCGCTCTAGCGAGGACACTGAGCGCGGATAGAGCCGAGTTAATAATACACCATCATTTTTTTCTCTCTAGAGTCGATCTGGCAAAACGGCCATGCGAGCGCTCTTTCGTATATATGTAATTTAGTAGCGAATTTCCGAAGTCGCGCCGAATAGATCAAAGGTTGATTTAGACGTTGCCAAGAAGACAGATTCGTCCGTGCCCTCTACGTAACCCGGAAAAAGGAAAGAAGACAGATGTTTCAATCAGTTTCAATTGCTAACGGATAATCGATCCGACCGAGTGGGACCCTCCGTCCCTCCGGCAGGCCGTCGTTAAGAGGACCGACGAAGAGGATAGAGATGCCCTGAAAGAGGTCAAAAGGGCCGGTATGGCAACGCGCACTCAGCAACAAGTTGCAGGGACGTTAATAAACGAGTCCTCGAAAGACCGCCTCGCGGATCTACCCTTAAGCCTTCCTTAGCCCGCCGATCTTTGCCCGCCGCAAGAGAATCTTCCCCGTCTTGTTACTATATATATATATATATATATATATATTACAGAGCGCTGTCGCGCGCATTTGCGTACTTTTCTCTCATTTTTAGAACATACCTTTATACGTACGTACTGTTGCACTGTTGCGGAGACACCGATAACGATACACAAATCATTCAAGACCGATCCGAGAAGAAAAATACACAAGAAACGCTCCGCGTTAAAAGAGAAAAAGAAATTAGAGGCGCGTTTATTCGGGATCCGCGAAATACTCCACGGTGTGGGCCTATCTTATTTTACCAGGGCGGTAAAATACAAGAATGTGGTAGTGCTATCTTATCCACGTGTTGACAGATTAGATAAGAAAAGGCCCCGTGGGTCGCCGGGCCGATTTCTCTTCGCCGCTGCTAAAACGCCCGGTGAATAACGAAAAATTCGAGAAAGAAACAAAGACAATAGGAAATTCGCGCCGTTCGTTCTCCGCCTCCGAGCGAGGGGAGCTCGAGCGCGTAATCGAAGTGAGGAGAACTAACTCGGTGCTCGTGTCGAGCAACTCGACGCGAAACCTTTCGCGTTATCGTCTCGAAGTTCAACCTGATAATGTAATCGATCTGCGAGCAGCATTGAAGTTCGACATCCTCGCGCCTTCGTGAGAAAATGAAAATTAAATACGCCGTACATATTACCGAGAGTTGACCGTCCCCGCGAACCGATGGCGAAATAAAATTCCTCGCGCCGCCGAGCCGAGTGCTCCGCCGCATGCGTGCCCAAGTCCGCACGGCGGCTTAAGGCACAAGCGGATTTTAAACATGGCGGTGCAGTAACGCGGACAGGCGCAACGTGCGTCGATCAATACCACCTTGCTTAATATCAGTTCTGAAACTCCGTACAGCCGGTACCGGAGAGATAGCTGGCCCGCGCGCGCGTCAGCGAAGTAGGGCCTCTAAACACGTTACGGCGCGGCGTCTCTGGCAATTAAGAAATCGCGAATATATACATGAATCATCCCCCCCCCCGCGGCCGCATCGATTTCCGACGTTCCGTCTCGACGGGACAATAAATTGCGCGATTATTTTTTGATAATGCGCACGCAGCTCGCGTAGTTGCCTTTAATTTATCCTTGAATCTTTACGCTTCGCAGACAATATCCAATAAATATCCAAGCGAACGTGACGATAATACCCTCCTGCGACTTAGGTATACGAGTAGCTTTTAAAGTTAGGAGAATACAAGATAATTCTAAAGAATATATTATTATATTCGTAATGTAATTTACTATTCTTCGAAAATAGAGTAATATAGAGGGGCTAAATTAGCTGATATTCATGTTATTATGTTTTACAAGTAATTAAATGTACAATGTTAGGCTAATAAATATAAAAACTAATAATTTGAATTTTATTCTTAGCGGCCCCTTTAAATTCATATTCTAAATTAATTGTTTAATTCGTTATTCTGTTTATAATATAAGTACATAATTGTACGGTTATCACAGTCGCGTCACGTGCCATTTATATGTATTGTCGAGCTAAGAATTGAATTATGATGGAAAATAGAGTTTAAATCGAGGCGCATTACTCACCCTCGTGGCGCCCTTGCCTCGTCCCCTCCCGCGTTCACGGAACGTCCCTTCGCCGGTCTGCAGGTGGTACAGGTGCTGAAAACGAAAAAGGGAGCTGTTAAACGCGCGGGTGGATTACAATTTACGGTTGGCGGATCGCCGTTTATCGTCGCATCGCGTTCGGCTATCGTAAAATCAAGGCAACCGCGTATCGCCTCAATTGACCTCGTTAAGTTCAATAGAACCGGTAATAAAAGTATAACTTCCATGGCCGGAGCGGCGTTAGATTAGATTCTGGACGGGTGTATGTACATAAAGTTGTTTCGATCTATTCAAGAGTGGAACGGCACGGATCCCCGAATTGGAGTCGCGCAGATCGTTGACCTTAATCCGGCGAACGTTTTTTGTCAACTCGATCTCTTTTTAGCCTTTTCGGTACCAATTATTTATAGCAACAATTATATGTTTCGCGCAAATAACGTTCTTGTGAGAAATTCAACTTACTATACATTAATCGTGCTTTGCATACCATGTGAAAACAACGAAAACACGACGCGTACGATACATTGTTATTGTTACTGTGAGGAGGCTGTCTTGTTATATGCAGTGCCATTATACATACGGGAGTAACGCGAAGCTTTTAGATGTACCGTCCGTTTTCAGCGCTTCCCATAAGATACATCTTCGTTGCGCGTCGGTAACGCTACTGTTTTATCCGCGGACTTTTTTCCAAATTCTGGTCGCCTAATAAAGCTAGCTTATAGAGAAACATATACGACATTTTCGAGTTGCAATAAAAATCATACAATTTCGTAAAAAATATTGCCTCTTCAATGACAGAAATATTTTATATGTGTCATACGATACATACAGAGAACTGCATTATCTTTAGAAAGTTGTGCTACCGACGTATAGTACATTCCCTCGAAAAGACATATGGTAACCGCGAAAAGAAGTTGTAGAAATACTTTCTCGTTATATCAAGTGTCAGAAAAATAATCAAAAAAATAAAATCACACATATTAATTAAACAATTAAATAATTAGCTAACAGCTCTTTAAAAATCAAAAATAAAAATCTAATTTAAAAATTAGATTTATATTTAAGACTATATTTGCATAAATGATTACAGCTCCAAAATTAAAAATTAGATG